AAATAACGACAGCATTTTCTAAAAACAGGGTTTCAAAAATCATGCACGGTCTATATGAAAAGAAACTTTACCCTGTTTAATAAACTTAATTCCTGAAAGAAAAGAAGTTGTAATTCAGGAACATATAAGGTAACACACAGGGCCGTCCCGAAGGGTGGGGGGTAGGGGTGTCTAGCCCCCCCCCCCCCAACGAATTTTATTAGTCGGCAAATTGGAACTGGAGTCGGCAAAATTGGATCTATAGTTGGCAGTCGGCAAATGTCGGAAAACGAGGACCTTCTTATCATTTTTTTTTTTTCGATAAGTAAGTAGGCAAAAAAAATAAAATGTTTGGCTTTAGTCGGCAAAAAACAGACAAGTCACATTTTAAATTGTTTAAATATATATATATATATATATATATATATATATATATATATATATATATATATATATATATATATATATATATATATATATATATATATATATATATATATATATAACAAAGTTATCAAATATCAAATATTACATCGAAGAGCAGACAAAACAATAAAATGGCCTACTTTCTTATAATAAAGTTGATTACAAAAAGTTTAAATAAAATGTGGGGAAAAAATATTATTTTTTATAAAAAATTTTTTTTTACAATAAAATTTTTTAAACTATCTATAAAAAAAAATAGTGGTTGGTAATAATTTTTTAAAAGTTTTGTCACAACGCAGCCTTAAATAGTTTCGCTCAAAAATTGTTTAAACTTTTTGATACAAAGCAAGTGTAATGGTTATTGTCCGATAAAATCAAGTAAAAAAGAATTTATTCCAATTGACACATTTCAGTAAAATATTGAGTTGGTACTGGATGTTCTGCTTGAGTCGTAACTTTGAATTCTTAAACAACAAAGATATTAACATGAAGGATAAACGCATACGTTATTTCAAAAATCAAGTAATGTTAATCTTAGAGTAACCTATCAAACATCAACGGACTCGAGCAACTGTTCTACTACTAGCTGTGATCTACAATATCTTTCTTGTGTTTATTGCATATTTGTATATAATTTATTAATTATAATAAATTGAACTCGTTTTACAATACGACTCTTACGTAAAACAACATAAAACGTAAAACGATCGTTTCTTGAACTTTCTTTCATTTTATTCGAATATTTGTTTTATGTAAGAATGTGAGGTAACTTCTCGAATGCTTTGCCGTTATCAGCGTTTAATGATTACGTAAATATTTCACTTCAAGCATTGATTTTCCATTAGTTAAAAAAGCATTTTTAATCCTTATTGAGTAGTTCTAAACCCAGAATGATATTTAACGCGTATACTCAGGACATTTTGGAGTTTTTTTTTCTTTTTGCTTTTTAGTTAAAATCGCTTTACTCTTTTCAATAGGTTGAAATGAAAAACGAGAGAGTTCTAAATTTTATATGACCGTATCTTTTGAGCGCTAAAATTTATTTTGATGAAACTTTAAATCTAATTATCCTATTTAAAGTCAAGCAATTAAAAAATAAATAAATAATTTAATAAAAAAACTTATAGGTAATTTTTTCTACTTCTCAAAACACGCGATGTATGTCTCAAATAAAAAATATTTTTATTTAGAAGCTATTTACAAAATTATAATAACTGAATACAGAAACTACTAAGCAAAATTTGTTTCAAAATGAGTTTTTAAAATTCAAATGACTCGAAAATATGCTCATAACTTGCATTGAACCCTGGATCTTTTGCTTATAATGGGTGGGAAATTGAAAATGGGACAAAGTTTAGCAGACAATAATCATATTGTATCAAATTAATTATATTATTGTCGACTACCTATTTTGTAGCAACTTTCACGCTAATTATTTATCTGTATTTGCTTTAGAAATTATTTTCAAAAATAAAACCAAAATGCATCAATGAACACGAGACACAAAAAACAACAACATGTGTACGAGTTTTATTTAGCCAATTGATCACAGAGGAAACCATTCACTGGTAACCACTTTGTAACTGAAAAAGTGTCGAGAAATACCATCTACCAGATTGCAGGGCCGTACTGATGAGAGGGGGGGGGGAACATAGGGGTGTCTAGCCTCCTTTGAATTTTATTAGTCGGCAAATTGGACACTGGAGACGGCAATATTGGATCTATAGTTGGAAGTCGACGAGGACCTTTTCTCTTTTTTTTTAGATAAGTTAGTCAAGCAAAAAAATTTTTTTTGGCTTTAGTTGGCAAAAAGCAGAATGTCCCAGAATTGCACCCAATCGAAAATATCTGGAGTATTCTGAAAAGCAAGGTCTATGCAAAGAATTGGTCGGCAAATAGCTTAGATCTGCGCAAAAAGATTGTGTTAATGTAATGCTCAAAAGAATGTAAGAATGTAAACTTTAAAGTTTAAAGAGATGTTACTCCCTCATTTTTCAATATTTTTCAAAAAACTAAAAAGATTCGTTTAGAGCATTACATTCTTTTGAGCATTACATTCACACAATCTTTTTGCGCAAATCTAAACTTTTTGCCGACCAACCGTGTTGGCCTTTAGCGTGTGGCAAGTTTAAACTGGGACAAAGCTTTGTCTCAGTTTAAACTTGCCACACGCTAAAGCAAGCTCTCTAATCATTGTGCCACGGCTACTATGTAATGCTACCTAGGGCAGAATACTAGAAGTAGTCGTAAATTTAATTTTTATGAGTTCATTTACAAAAAAATAAAAGTATTTAATTAAAAAAATCATTTTGGTTTAAATGATGTGAAATAGTTGGTCCTAATATTTGCCACCTATGCAGCAAAAAATAATTGTTCAAATAATTTTTTGCTGGTTATTCCTATTAATGTGAACAGAGGTTGATCACCAATAAGACAAATGAGAAGTAAAAACATCACAAACCTGCTTTATTGAGAAAATGTATCAACTTTAACTATAAAATTAAGAGATCATGCTTCAGCTGGTCCTCTAATCAGAAAGTTCTCGGTGTAACTCTGCATTCTCACCTTCTATAAAAAGCACATTTAAAACGTTATCCATGCAGCTAATATCAGAGCATATCTTATTTTAAAATGCTATTATAAATACTATTTAAAACTATGAAAAAACAATATTTTTTCCAGTTGCAAAAATTAAAAGTTAAATGTAAGCCTAAACCATGTGCTTTTCTTTCTTTTGGTTTTTGTTAAAACTGATATAATCCCTTTTCCAATATTTTGTTAATAAACTTGTCTTCTTTAAAAATCTGTTACTTTTTGTAAGGTTTTAAATAGTTTTTGTCTTTTTTAGTAACTGGCATGCATAAAATTATTTTTCGTTTTATTTTCAAGTTTCCTGCCACACAAATGTTAATTTTAAATACGTTTCAAATTCAATATGTAATATTCTAAATCCTATTCGTCACTATTCACTTGTGAAAACTACTTTTTACTATATTTAGTAATATTATACTGACACTATTTTTTATTTATGTTCCACTGGCACTCTATAGAGAAGATAGTATCTTCTGTATAGAGTGCCAGTCTTCTTAAGAATGCTTTGTAAATTTAGTGAAGATAGATAAACATTTTCAAAACTAGAGTTGAACATCTTTTTAAGATTGTTTATTTCTGATGATTTACGAAAGAAATTGATTTCACTTTCAATTTCAGCATTTTTTTAAACATTTTATTTGCTTTTTCATAGCAGTTTCTGCATTATTGGCAACCAGGGACAACGGGCAGGTTTTCCATTTTTTTGATTATTTGATATGAAATATGAGTTATATGAGCCTCTGAAAATTATTATAAAAAGAAGTCATCTCAAATATTTTTTTTAAATTGACTGAAAAATTTTACTTCAAAAGCGATTAAACTTTTCATTCAAAATTTATTTTAAAATTTCATCATGACTTTTAATTCACTATTTTTAGACGCCTACAATTAGTGAATTCGGTTTTATTACAGACTCGTGACGCGACAGACAAGTCTGTAACAAAACCGAATTGTCTATGACATCATAATCTTTTTCTATTTTCAAAAAAAAATCATACTTCAACATACGATATTAATGCTTTAACTTTTATCATAGTTTAACATATATATATATATATATATATATATATATATATATATATATATATATATATATATATATATATATATATATATATATATATATATATAAATGTGGTAAGAATTGTATTTTGTTCCATCAACGTAAGTAGCATCAACAAAGGACTAGGCAAAATTGAACTGATAATATTGAAACTAAAAATGCTGTTTTCATTATTTTAACAACAAATTTAAACAATTCTAATGGAATCCTGGATTTAAAGTTCACATGGATACCAACTTTCAGCTAATCAGACAATATTTATAAAGATACCATTCTGGGTCTAAAGGTCACAGGGATACTAACTTTCAGCTAATCAGACAAAATTTAAAAGATATAGATAAAAATTAGCAAACATCCTTAGCCAAAAAGTCCTATAGGACCTATAAGATTTTAGAACAACAACAAAAAGAGACAAACTATAAACACTTTTTAACTTTTTTTGAGTTTTAATTTAATGGGGTTCTGAATTTTTTTTGTTCCAAATTCTTATAGGATCCTATAGGACTTTTTGATAGGAACGTTATGCGGTTTTTTTTATTTTAAAACGATATTAATTATGCAAAGATTTTACTTTTACCAATATGGTATAAAGGCGATTTCAGATTGTCTCTTGGTACATAATATTTTCGGTTGTTCATTATGTTATCAAATATATATTACATTATAGGCGATTTTAGAATGTCTCTAAGTACATGGAATTTTTGGCTGTTCATTATTTTATTCAATATTTCAATATTTTATTTCTATTTGATTTTATTCGATATTTTATTTCTATTAGAAAAAAATACCTCATGTAATTTTTTTTTTCGAAAGTGAGTCAGGAGGTAAATTACCTTTTAAACTACATTTTCTGACTGACAGACTGATCAGTGTCATTGATGTTAAGGCTGGTATCCTGATGATTTTAAATTAAAACAAAAATTTTATAGAAAAAACGAGCTTTAGTTAAAAATCTTTATTAACAATTGTAACAAATATTAACAGTAAAGAACTTGTAAAAATTATAACATTTTACCAATAATAAATAAAAACCTTGTGTAATCATTTAATAAATTTTTTTTTTCCTGCAAGTAAAAACTTGGGTTGATAATAATAATAAAAAGCAAAACTATTTAAATATTATAAAACTAATTTGTAGAATTACAAAAAAACTATTATCAACAATTATTTACAGGTCAAAATATAAACACTTTTTACTTTCTTAAAAAACGCAAGCTAATTTAATAAACACAAAATATGACACTTAAAGTTTTACAGTTTTAAAAACCGTCGTAAAACCTTTTATTCATGGTGCGGATGCAAAGAAAGCACTCTCCTTTTTTTTGATAAACCAAGCCTCAATTTCTGTGGCGTCTTAAAATTAGGAATGTTATTTATAAAAATCTCGTGAGAAAATGGAACTGAAATACTTGATCCCAATGCTAAATTCCGCAAATTAACATATATTAGAAAGTAATAAATAAAAAAACAAAACAAAAAATAAAAAACAACGATTAAAAAAATATTATAAGAATGCGAGTTGCTAAGTGGTAGTAAATAACGTCACAGTAATTTTTTAAATTTGCCGTGGCATTCGATATGTTGCATGTTACGGGAAAGAAAAAACTAATTTTTTATGGCTTGTTTAAAAGCTTCAGCTCTTGTTTGTAATTCATGCTTATAAATAATTCATTAAAAGTTTTATCGAAATGGTTAAATAATAGTATGCTACCAAGTCTAATAAAAATAAAAAAAAATTGTTTTCCTTAAGTTGAAGAAATAAATACCTTTTAAAAAAGATTTTTTTGTAAGTTTATTCAAAATGTGTTTTCATGATAATTTACCTTGTGACTATGAATTTATTCATAATTATTTACAAATGACTATGAATGGTATTTAACCGTTACATAGGGGAGACCGTTACATAGGGGAGACCGGGGCAAGATGAAGACTGTCTTAAATTTTCAGTTTTTCACTAGGTGGCAGCATTAATCGGACACTACACTACTTTTGGATTAACAGTGTGGAAGAAAATTTTTTGACTTTCCTTAGGAATATGGTATTTCGCATCCGTTCAACAAGGATAAAAAGATGACAGAAGAAGATTGGCTGGCTAAGAAACATAAACTTAGTGTACGCAAACCAGAAGCAACATCGATTGCCAAAGCAATGGGTTTCAATAAACCAAGTGTAGACAAACTTTTCAACATTTTAAGGGAGCAACGGGAAAAATATGAATTCCTTGCTTCTTCAATCTACAATGCAGATGAGGTCTGTCTACTGTGCCTATTAAGCTACCCATGATTCTCAGTCCTACAAGATCTAGAAAAGTTTCTAAAATTTTTTCAGCAGAGAGAGAGGAAGAAATATAACTATAATTTGTTGCATTGGCGCTACTGGCTTTTACCTGCCACCTTTTCTGATTTTTGTCAGAAAACGAATATTTCCTGAACTTGTAGAAAGAGCCCTACTAGGAACTATAAGCCACTGTAGTGATAACAGATGGAGCAACGAGGGAACCTTTTTATATTTTTTAAAGCACTTTTATCTACACGTGAAACCAAGCCAAGACCCTCCTACTCTGTTGATTATTGACATCACAAAACTCACATAACTTTGGAGGCTATATTATATTGCAGAGAGAAAAACATCATCGTGGTTGGGTTGCCGCCCCACACATTAAAGACTTACTATAGCATGTACCACGCATGTGACAACTTTATGATCACTCATCCAGGACAACCTATCAAAGACAAAAATATTGGCGATCTTTTGAGCACCGCTTACTTTATAGCAGCAACAGATGGAAATGCCGTTAATGGGTTTAAAGAATGTGGGAACGAGCCTTATAATTAACTTGTGTTTAGCGAACATGACTTTGCTGCTGCAAAAACTACTGGCGAAGATGTTATTGGCGATCAAACTGAGAACAATAATGCTAATTCTCAGGCCCAAGTAGTAGAAAACCATAATATATAACAAATGCTAATTCAGATGCACTAAAGAAGTTGATTAGTGTTTTTGATTTCAAACTCTTAGCTAAAGCAAAAGAATGCGAGAAAAAACGAAAAAGCAAAAAAATGAACTCAAGCATTCTTGCAAGCACACCCTTCAAAGAACTGTTAAAACAAAGAAAAAAAAGCAGAAAAAAAGAAAATGAAAAAAACAAACAAAAAAACAAAAAAAACAGAGAAAAGAAGCTAAAAAGGGTGCAAACAAACTCAAGCTAAGTTCCTGTAGGTCTAAGTCTATAAAATCTAGGACAAACATTCTAGTTGCATCAACATCAGAAGAATGGATTCAGTGCTGTAAATGCTAACAGTGGTGGCATGAGGAATGTTCTAATTATGAAAACAGCATTTTTATTTGTGACTATTGTTAGCGGGTACAACTAAACACTTTAACGTTACTTTACATTGCATTACGCTTAGTCTGATAGTTTGTAAGATTTAAAAACATAGTTATCATTTGTTAAACCGTGTAACATTCAAAAGATAAAATATGTTTAACTGTTTTCTGTAATGTCATCTCGCCCCAGTACTGAAGCAATAAAATAAAAAAATAATTTTATATTTTATTTGAATAAGTAAATGTAAATATATATTATATATCAAAAAGAACTTCTCTAACATGTTCATGTAAAATTAATTTTACTATCCTTAAAAATAAATTAAGCAACAAAAATAGTTAACATAGTAATCTTGCCCCGGTCTCCCCTATATATATTTTTTGATAAATAAGTTTAAATTTGTAATTTTTTTTTCAAATTATTAAAAAAAAATTTATAAAAACACGAAATCCATCTTTGTTTCCATGCCTTTTCTTCATGATGGCCCTTGGGTAGAAATCATTCGTTTTCCTGTTGAAAAATATGCTTCTTATGTAACTTCCTGGATTCAGGCTGTTATGGAATCTTTTATTGCCTCTTGACAATTCCAAGTAAAGCCTCACTTTTCTCTTAAGTTTTTCCTCTCAATTGTAACCATTACTTCAATATCTATTGCCAAAACAATTTTCCAGACAACAGATGTCTGTTTACTATTGCTAGAAACCATTGTAAAAAGGATTTTGTATAACGCCAAAGCCTGCTATTCTTAGGTTACAAAATCTCGTATTTTATCTAAAAAATTAGGCTCCAGAGACTTCGGAAAAACCTTTAACAGTGTCTACAATAAGAGCAAACCTGATATTCCACATCTCTTGCATGGTCCAAATTTTGCCACTTCACCTAAAAACAAAACTGAATTGTTTTTAATGAACTTTATTTCTTGATTCCACAAATCATATCCTACCTGATATAGCCAAAAACAGGTTGATCCATTGGTTGACATTCGTATCTCGCGAGCTTCAGTATCTTAAGTGATTTCCTGCTTAGACTCTTCTACAGCTTGTAGTCTGGACAACATACCTGTTATAGTTTTGCAGAAGTGTTCTCTGGAGCTGTCGGATATACTTTCAAAACTATTTAAAAAGTGCTTATCAGAGCTTTGTTTTCCAGCCTGCTGGAAAGCAGCACCTGTTACACCTATTTTCATAAATTCTGGAGAGCAATCTGACTCATCTAACTACCATCCCATTAGTATTCTTCCTATCATAAGCAAGGTTTTTGAGTCATTAATTAACAAACACTCGATGAAATCAATTGTAGAGGACAATAACAAAAGATATGTGTGATAACAGCTATAATCTTTTTCATAATAGCATTGTTTACTTTTCAATGTAAATTTTATTTAGTTTTATTTAATAAATAATCTTTGCAATAATCTGATTCATCAAACTAATTTTTGAATTGATCAATTGTTGTTGATGCTATAATATGGCGGTAAACCATTACATTACATTAAAAAATTAAATCTCCTTGTAAATGACATTCTTCTAGTGTTAATAATTTCATTAACTGTAATTTACTTTCATATGGCATTTTTTCTAAAAGCTAGTTAAAATTCGTTTATTAAATTATATTTGTTTATTATATTAAAAAATTAAATCTCCTTGTAAATGACATTCTTCTAGTGTTAATAATTTCATTAACTGTAATCTTCTTTCATATGGTATTTTTTTAAAAAGCTGGTTAAAATTTGTTAATTGTAATAACTGATAGGTTTTATTGTGCATTAGATAGATGGAGAGGTTAAGGCTATTGCCCTCCACATTTCTAAAGCCTTTAATAAAGTTTAGAATGCTGGTCTTCTCCATAAGCTTTCTTTTTATGGTGTATCAGGTAACATCTTTAAGATTATTGAATCCTTTCTTACCAATCGTATTATAAACGTTGTCCTAGATTCTTCATTTCCTGTAACTTCAGGGGTTCCTCAGGGTTCTATCCTTGCCCCTAAATTTTTTTAAATTTACTTTAACTATCTCCCAGAAATTCTCACATCTAAAGTAGCATTGTTTGCTGATGATACTATCATTTATTCTTGTCTTGATTAGAAGCCAACACTCTCTGATTGCATTTGAATTAAGCTTAAAAAGGATCTCACCCCTGAGGCTCTCAGTGGTTGGTAAACTTTAACTCAGATAAAACTCAATTTTTTTCGGCTAATCGTTATTACAACAATCTAGAACTTCCTATATTTATGAACGGTAATGTACTCAATGAGTCATCTACCCTTTGTTTTCTAGGATTAACTCTTACTTCCAATCTTTTTTGGAAACCATATTAATATATCAATTGCAAAATTGCATCTTCTAAGGTTGCATCACTTTATTGTGCTTACCACTTTCTTACTCAAAATTATATTCATTATCTCTATAAACCTCAAACTCACTCTTGTATGGAATACTGTTGCCATATCTGGAGCAAATCTTCAAATGATGGCCTTTCTCTTTTAGACAAGGTGCAAAAACACACTGTAAACATAGTTTGACCTGCTATTATAAGCAACCTTCAACCATTGTTACTTCTTCATAACATTGCTTCTCTTTCTCTTTTCTATAAATAATATAACGGGTGCTGCTCTAAAGAGAAAGAGAAGCATCTCTTGTGCCATCTACTAAGTTCATTATCAACCCTAACCCTAACCCTAACCCTGATATTGAAACTCTTAGAACTATTGGCGATCTTGATTCCTGTTATGAAGCATATATTAAAAATGGATTTATTAGATCTTCCATGAAGGAATTTGATAATATTTTTCTACTTTATCAAAAAGTCATTAAAAAGATTTTAATGCTTAGTTAACTTAGCTTACCCCTATGTCAGTTATCAACTTTTTTTTGTATGTTAATGTGTCAGTTATTTATGGGCAGTTATTTACGCCTATGTATGTCTATTACTGTATTTTCAAAACTTTAAAGAAAACATTTGAAAACTTCCAGTCATTTCAAACAATAATTAAACACATTGTGTGCCAGAAGCAAAATTAGACCCACAAGACTATACAAACTTAGAGTCATCTGCTAAGTTAATCTATTTAAAAACATGCAATCACAAGATTAAATAAATGAATTAACATTTTTTAAATATGACATCTAATAATTTACTGCCACTTTAGCAAAATTAAAATTTTTTAAAGTTTTCGAGGCGATATTTATTGTTGCAAAGGATTTATCTATTAACAACAAAGTTAAAAACTAGGGAATCTAAAAAAAAAATCAGGAAGAATCTAAGAACCAAGAGTCTAAGAACCTAGATTAAGGAGATTAAAGATGAGAAAATAAAAAATAAGAGAAACAAAGAATTCATATTTAAAAAAAAAAACAGACTCAAAATAAAAATATTTACCTTGCGGTCGCGGAAAACAACCCTGTTCCAACAAATTTTCCTAAAAACAATGTCTACTAAAATATTTGGTAAATATTTTTCCAGTTTTCTCATTTTTGCTTTTTTAACATAACACAATACTTTTTGTAAAGTTAACACTATTATGTCATTGCTAAAACACAATTTAGTGACTGTGCCAACCCTAACATAAGTCGTAAAAAAAGGATTGCAAAACATGTCAATTATAAAAAAATAAAACATAAAAACTTGTTTTATCAAGATATATCTAATATGCATTGTAATATGTTTTTTAATTAAAAACTATAATTATTCTATTCAAAACCTAATAATAATTGTTATTATTATTAGATATTTTGTTAAAATATCAAATAACAATAACAAAAATTGAAGCTGTATTCTTAAGAGACTCAAGAAAGAACTTAACAACTGTAGATGTTAAAATTTAACAACTGTTTTTGATAAAATTTTAATGTTTATTTTTAAAATCAATTATTGATGTAGCATTGACAACTTCATTATCTAAATGACTCCAATTTTCAATTACACAGTCAGTGAAAAAATGATGCCTCTGTAAAAAAATTTAAACAAATTGCCTCCTCGATTTTTGATTATGACCTCTGGTAAGTTTGACTTTTGAATAAGATTTTCCCATTTAAAATTATTTGTTGTTTCCCATGTTAACCTTTTAAATTAAATACACCTAGTTCTCTGTTCCAATGACATTACTAGTAGTAATGTCATTGGATCATTCCTGTTGAATGATCTCTGTTTCTGTAGCACTATATTTTAAGTATACTGTAATTTTGGATTAGCAAAATGCTTTTACATTTATCTTTATAAATCCAATTAACCATTTTTTTTTCAGTTAAATAGGATACCAAGATCAAGCTGTAGAGAGTGATTTCTTTTTATTTGTAACTGCAATTACTTTTAAATCAGCAGTTACATCTTTGCTTTATAATTCAATTTTTTTGCTACATTAATTATATAAACTGAAATTAGCAATAGCCATAAAACTAATCCATATTGTACTCCACTAGGAACAGTTTTTTATTTTAATTCAAATAGTTCCAAAACAACTCTCTGTTTTCAATTTGCTAAAAAAGCTTCCCACATTTGTAACAATTTTTCAACAATACCAAATGATTCTAGTTTCTAAAGCAGTCTGGAATGTGCAAAAGAACTGAATGCCTTAGAAAAATCCAAAAAGGTAACATCAGCACATTTTCTAATATTTTTCACTTCTGTTATCATATCTAATGTCTCAAGAAGGTTTATTACACAATTTTTTTATTTAGCAAACTTGTGTTATTCTGGTATTATTATATTATTTTTATTAAAATGATTTATTATTGTGTCCTTAACAATAATTACCCTTAGTTTATAAACAACAGAGGCTAAAGAAATTGGATGATAATTACCTGCAACCTACCCCCATTTTTAAAAAGTGGTGTAATATTTGTTTTTAAGCAGTTTGTAAGTTGCAACGCTCCACTTAGGAATAAATGAGTTATAGGTTGCAACGCTCCGAACGCAGGAATAAATGAGTTAGGAAAATTTTTTTGGTTAAACTTTCTCATGTAAGCATATTAGTTAGGCTTCTGTTTATAAATACAGAATTAAAAGTTCTATTTAACTAATTAGCAATGACTTGATTGTCAGTTGATATTTTGTTATTTTCAATTGAAATTGGTCTTGTATGGTCTTTTGCTTATAGTTAAATGTTAATGCTAACAAGCACAACTCCACTTTGAAAGGTTACGATTGAACTTTATATTTCAGTTTTTTATTCATTCATAGGGAACTTCAGCTTTTCGTTGTTCTTCAATTAAATGAGGATATAAAATCCTTAAATTCATTTTCATACATTTTGATACATTTTCATACATTTTGATACATTTTTTTGCTGATCAATATCAAATTTGCAAAATTCATGACTTCAATTAAAACTATTTTGATATTTTGAAAATTCATCACAATTATAATTAAAAACAATAACAACATGATGCCTTCTAATTTTTTCTGAGGGATCTTTAGCTACCTAGTTAGAAATACAAAATAAAAAAGTTGTAAACACTAAATCTATTATATTTATTAATTTTGTGTTATTTAGTTAAAATATTGTTTTTTTTAGATGTTGAGTTAGATAACATTTTTAAATACATTTGAAAACTCTCTTTTTGTTCAAGACAGACACTTTCATAAGTAGAACTTTATTTACTATTCAAGGATAATATATTTTAGTTTTTGAAAATTGTTTGTAACTTCCATTAATAGAATTAATTATGTTTTGACAATTCGAATCTTTATTTTTTGATCTATAAATACAATCAAATATTATGCATTCATTGCTAATTTTAACTGTATTACATATTTGATGTTAAACACATTGTAAAACATGGAACTAGTTAAGGATCTTTCTCAATGTCATCTTTAAAACTTGATATAAGCAACCCTTTATTAAACAAATTTAAAATGTCAATGTCATATTTAAAACCTAATGTACCAATATAAGCAACCTTTATTTAAACAAATCAGGCCTCAATCAATATTAAACAAAAATTAATATTTGGTTCTACTTATTACAATAATTGCAAGTTTGCATAATTAAGTTAAATTAAAAAAATTAAAAAAAAGTTTGCATTATTGCAAGTTTGCATAATTAACAGTTTTGGATTATTTTTTTTTTTACTTGCTTTTTTTAACTTTTCAGGCTGACATGCTTTGCTTGCTTTAAATTAAATTATATAAATAAATATAAAAATGGTAAGTAAACATAAATAAAAAAAGTTACATCAAAAATATAGCATACATTAATTGCACTGATTACTCTTTGAAGCAATTTACACTGTTCAAATAGATTAAAACACTGTAAAATTTCCTTTATTATAATCCATTTTATAATTATATGTTACAACTAAGTAAAAAATATGGCCCATAACTACCTAAGAAGATTTTTGGATAAAATTGGAAAGATATAATAACTAGAGTTGTTTTCATCATTGCATATTATTTATTTTCATGATTGTATATTATTTATTTTCATGATTGTATATTATTTATTTTCATGATTGTATATTATTTATTTTCATGATTGTATATTATTTATTTTCATGATTGTATATTATTTATTTTCATGATTGTATATTATTTATGCCTGATCAGCATATAAATACAATAATACTGACACACAACTAAGTGTAATATTTTACTTGAGAAAAATAAAAACCTACATATCTTATTAAACCTACATATATTATTAAAGAAATTTATCAGCCAATAACCATTAGCACTATTGAATTGAATTATTTACAGAAAATTAAATGAAAAAGAAAATTAAACAATGACATTATTAACAGATAGTATGATTTTAAGAACTTGTTTTTATTAACTTAAAAAACCACCAGAAATCAAAATTATTTTGTGCTCAATGTTTTTGTGCTCCTCCTAAAGAACTTGCAAGAAAAGCATATTACTTTTATCTAAAAAAAATCTATAATGAACTTCTTTGAAAATCAACCAAGATCAGGTTCAGGATCATCTTGATCACCCTGCTTTTGGTATTAAGTAACCAAGTACTACCTGCTCCATTCCCTGCTGCATTGTAGGTTTTGCTTTTTATAGACAAAGGCTATAAGAAACAAACTACAACTGAAAAATATCGTGTCTTAGGGCTCTCGGTTGAGTAAAGAATAGAGGTATTACTTACATCCAGCTACTGTCTTGGAGAAGGCCTCCAAGGCAAATGGCTTTAGGGGTAAGCAGATTAATTCTGTTGACCAGCCTATGTTGACTCCTTTATTTATTAGGCTCATGTAGATGTAAACCTGCATTACATTGTTTTCTGACTGGATGATGAATGGTTCTTCTTGAATCTTCAATAGATTTTTGGCTGCACCTCCTTGATTGTGGCTATGCAATTCTTTCAGTAATCTCCTAATGAGGGTAAAGCTCTAAAACTCAGTTTAATGGTTCTCAGGCCAGCTGGTAGTAAGGTTTCCTGAACTCTGAGGTAGCTCTCAGAGAAGCTGATTCCATCAACAGCTGTAAAACATCAGAGTATTAACAGCGCCCTGTTGCGCATGGATGATGTCCCTGTTAATGCTTTTGGACTGATCTTATTAAATTTCCCAAGGAAAACTGTAAAGCTACTTTTCTTCTAACTCGACTCTTGAAACTTATGGCTCTTCTATCTGTTCTAGTTAAACAGGTAAATCTATTGTTAGACATTCAAACCACTCCAGCTTCGTTGCTAAAGTCATATCTTAATTAGACTTTCTATGGCTTGTGGTACAGACAACATTTCTGTCGTAATATTACCAAAAGTGTCCTCCAGAACTTTTTTTTAAAATTCTCTTCAAACTATTTAACAAGTGCTTGACTGAATCTTGTTTTCCTGTCTGCTGAAAAATGGCATCTGTGGTTACAATTTTTGTTAGTTAGATCTTTGAGTCTTTGATTAAAAAATTTCTCACATTCCATCTTGAGTTAAATAACTTACTGTCAGACAATCAATACATTTTTCGATCTTCTCGCTCTATGACTGACTTGCTAACTTCTGTGACTGAAAAATTTTATCATGAGTTAGATAGAGGCGGCAAGTTTAGGGCTATTACTCTTGATAAATCTAAAGCTTTTAACTAAGTTTGGCATGTTGGTCTTTTACATATGCCTTCTTCTTATGGTGTATCAGGGAAAGTTTTTGAGATTATTAAACCATTTCTTTCTAATCACTTTATTATATTCATCCTTGAAGGCCAATACTCTTATTTATTTTCAGTAACTTCTGGGGTACCTCAAGGTTCTATCCTTGGATCTTTGTTGGAATTTTAACTCCAACAAAGCTCAGTTATTTACAGAAAACAACTCTCACAACACTGTTGACATTACAATACTTTTTCCCCACACCTCAACCTTTTGGAATTCTATTCTATCTTCATGATTTCCTGACACAATCTACAACTTTTCGAGGTTTCTGTCAACTATTTCCTTTCTGCTTCTCTTTAACTCTTTTTGTTTTCTAGTAACTCCCAACTTAATAGTGATTGTTTGCACTCTTGTTGGTAATGAATCAGAATTAAAAAAAAAAACAGAAACATTGAAAATTCAGGACTATTTACAATAGAAATTGGCGAGTACTATTTTAAGGAGTGATTTTTAACTTTCCATTTCTAGGTTTATATATTCATATATATATATATATATATATATATATATATATATATATATATATATATATATATATATATATATATATATATATATATATATATATATATATATATATATATATATTCACATATAGTTTCTTCACTGCTTTTCTGCCAAACAAAGAAGCCTTATGAAGATAACTTTCGGTGGTCAACATAAACCTTCAATATTTCAGTATTTAAGGCCACAGCAGATTTTTAAAGATCTTCTTTTGACATTCTTACCAGTAATTTTTTACTCTTTTTCATTAATAGTTTTGGTTTGACCTGTTTGCTTCTTGTACATGGTTGTTCCTTGAGCTTTACATTATTGAACAAGTTGTCTGACTGTAGTCTTGGAAACATTAAACTGATTTGCAATTTGACAACAAAATATTTTTGATTTGACTGATTTTAAGATTAATTTTTTTACAAGAGATTTTTTTACAATTTCATTTCCTTTTCCTAATTTAAATTAAGAAAGATTAATAAAATTAAATTAAACTGGCATAAAAATTAAAATATTGCACAAAACATAAATAAATTAATCTATAAAACTATGTGTCATTAAATTTTGAACCCCACAGAAAATATCTTTCTTTAATTACATAATTAAATGTTATTTTTTAAAAAAAAGGTATTTATTTTCAGAAAAGTAATACTATTAGCTATATTCAGTAAAAACTTCAAAAATATTGAACACATCATTCAAAAATTATAGCAAAATATATATATATATATATATATATATATATATATATATATATATATATATATATATATATATATATATATATATATATATACTATAGCAAATTTATGTAGCATTTGCTCACATTTTTTGTTTATCTAAATCGATATGGTTTTTTTCAGAAAAAGAAGAAAAAAACAAATAATGAATAAAAAGATTGCTGCCCCATGCCAAACCTTCAGTCGATGTAGCAGCACTCTGCTGTGAGTCAGGCTATTTGTCAGTCAATGTATGTACTGAAGCCTTAGCAGCAAGCTATTTCAGTATGATGTCACACTGCTCACCTAAATCAGCAGTATACGATTATGGTAAAAAGATTTATGGGAAGAATAAGATTTATGGTAAAAAAAATTTATTTCAACAACATTTAAGTTACTTCAACAATTGAGTTATATTTTAATGTTTTCTAAAAGTTAAAACAATTAAAATAATGCGGAAGTACATTAGGTTTTATCATTTTTCAAAAACTGCAATAATAATGACTAGAGAGTATTTTTAATTAATAGTGTTTTCATATTTTTATTGCTTTATAATATTTTTAAAACATGCATAAAGTGTTGTTACGCTGATTATCTTATAGCCTGCTGCTACAAGGAAGTGCTGCTACATCAGCTATCTTATAGTCTGCTGCTACAAAAAAGTACCGCTTCATCAACTGAGGGTTTAGTTTGGGCAAGCAATCTATCATAAAAAAAAAACTTTATTCAAGTTTTTAAACTTTTTCTGGTCTGGTTTATTAGAGTTCTCTTTACAACTACAGTTTATGGAAAAAACTTTTTGAATACCATGCAAGTATATATATATATATATATATATATATATATATATATATATATATATATATATATATATATATATATATATATATATATATATATATATATATATATATATATATATATATATATATATATATATTTTTATGATAACATTGACAGCAATATCTATTGTTTCTTGTAATGGAATGTTTGTGAATAAACTTATGATATCAAAAGATACAAGAAAGCTGTTAAATAGGTTTGCTTTGTTTACTTCTATAACAGAGGTAAAAGAATCTTTATTACAAAACTCAGACGGTATTAATGGAGATAATAATCTCGAAGAAATCTACCCAAATGATAGCTATAAGTGCCAATAGACCATACAATAGGTTGAAAACATATATCATGATCAGAAGACCTTAGTTTGTGCATTTTTAGAAAACCGTATATGCGAGCAGGACGAGAGCCAGTAGGATAAATTTTATTATAACTTGAATCGTAAAAAAAAAACCTTGACTTTTTAGTTTCCTTAAGAAGGTTTGAAGTTGCGTTTCTCTATTAATGGTGATGTCTTTTTTTAAGTGTTTAAATTTAGTTGGATCATTAATATATTGTAAATCCTGTTGTCATGACGGGATTTACAATAGGATTTACAATACTATTAATGATCCAACTAAATTTAAACACTTAAAAAAAGACGTCACTATTAATAGAGAAACGCAACTTCAAAACCTCTTATAGAAACTAAAAAGTCAAGGTTTCTTTGATGATTCAAGTTATAACAAAATTTATCTTACAGGCTCTTGTCCTGCTCGCATATACGGTCTTCTGAAAATGCACAAATTAAGGTCTTCTGATCATGATATATGTTTTCGACCTATTGTATGGTCTATTGGCACTTATAACTATCATTTGGCTAGATTTCTTCGAGATTTATTATCTCCAATAATATCGTCTGAGTTTTGTACTAAAGATTCTTTTACCTTTGTTAAAGAAGCGAACCTATTTAACAGCTTTCTTGTATCTTTTGATATCACAAGTTTATTCACAAACATTCCATTACAAGAAACAATAGATACTGCTGTCAATGTTATCATAAAAAATAATACAAATCTTAAAATCAACAAAATATATATATATATATATACATATATATATATATATATATATATATATATATATATATATATATATATATATATATATATATATATATATATATACACTTACTAAAGCGTATTTTTATAAGCATTTGCTCACTTTTTTTTGCTTACCTTAACCCATACGGCTTTTTTAGAAAAAGAAGAAAAAAAACGAATGATGAATGAAACGATTACTGCCCCATCTCAAACCTCAGTCGATGTAGCAGCACTCTACTGCAAGTCAGGCTATTTGTCAGTCAATGTAAGTACTGAAGCCCCCAGCATCAGGCTATTTCAGTATGACGTCAGATTGCTTACCTTAGCACGCAATACTATTTGTATATATATATATATATATATATATATATATATATATATATATATATATATATATATTTATATATTCTTATATTGTAGTGCATTTATGTAACAAATTGATACCCTATTTATCTACTATAGCATATTTATGTAACAAATTGTTACCCTATTTTTGTTACATTAATTTATACAGTGTTTTTAGAAAAAAAAAAGAAGAATAATAAAAGAAAAGATTGATTCCCCAGGCCAAACCCTCAGTCGATATAGCAGCACTCACTTACGGCAGCAGGCTATAAGATAGTTAATGTATGTAGCCCCCAGCAGCAGGCTATTTCAGTGTGACGCCATAGTTTTTGTCTAAAAATGCATTCATAGTTATTTCATTCTTTCATTCATTCTGATGATGATGATGACAATAATAATAGTAATAACAACGATAATATTTATCAACTCAAAACATTAACACATTTTTACATCAATATATTAATTGAAACAACTACATTGAAAAACTTACTTCTTGAGAATCTTTAACTTTTTTTAGAATGTTTCCTAAAAAAGGCATTTAAAAAAGTTCAAAATCAGTAGCACACACAAAAAAACTGAATTTTCTAATTGATCAAACATAATTTTCAATTTAATGAGATGACACAATCATTTTCAAGTTACACAACAAAATACACAAAAACTTACCCTTTGAAAAACATTTGATCTGAATATCTTCAATATTAGGGACAACTGAATTTTCTAGTTGATCAAAACTTATCTTTCGTTTTACTGAGTTGTTTAAACTATATTCTATTGATGGTCTTTGTAAATCAAGGTCCATGTTAGATGGTCCTTGAGTTGACATAAGTTCAGATATTATGTAGTCAATAGTATTCTTAGAAACAGATCTTTCACTTTTGTTAAAAGGCAATGACCTTTCCTGCAATGGTAAAAGTAGAGATTCTGATGATATAGAGACTTTTTTGTCATTTAATGAACAAAACTTCTCATAATCAAAGTGATTTTCATTTGGATAGAGAGATTCTGAGGTTTCCAAAGGTTTATCATTTTGATCCAAAGCTAAGTTTTCATCTGGAACAACATGAAGATTTTCATTGGGTAAATCATCAGGGATCTGAAAGTCATTTGAAATAAGCAATGGAGAATCTTTTTCATATTTTACAGGAGAACAAACCCAACTTTTTAACTTTAAAATATTATTGGAAGATTGCTTATTAGTTGATTCAAAATGTGAAGTTAGTTGATGGCTTTTAAAAAGTTCAGAACCATTTAATAATTTCAACTGATTATCAACCTAAAATTAAGATGAGTTTTTTAAGTTATCATATACACAACTAAAAATGGTCTAATAAGAAATTGAATAACATATAATAAAAAATTATAAAATACCTCTAGAGTATGCACACATTCCTTATTAACAGCATCTTCCATTTTACACAATTCAGGTGAGTAAATGGATTTAAGCGAGACAAATGTTGGCAAACCCATTTTTATTTGGCAACCAAACAAATCCAATTCTGGAGAATTTTGTTCATTAAAACTGTTTAATGAAAAATGTGTTGCATTTGTTGATGTGTCAATTACTTCATTATTTATGATGCAATCTTTTTTATCAGCAACTGTCTTACATTTATTAATGTTGTTTACTTGTTTATTATTTGATGATGTACATAATTCAAAAAATAGTTCTGTATTTTTATTTGTTCTTGTGATACCTTTCTTTTTCTTTGGTTGGATGTTCTTCATGTTTACCATATGACATTTATTTATAGCAAAAGAAAAAACTCTGTACTTTAGATAAGCAAACAAATCTTCAAATGAGTTCCATGTGACATCTGGCAAACATTGTCCATTTTCACAACACCTTTTTTTAAATGGAGGATATTCTATTGAAGAAAAGCAGATCTTATTATTATCAAAATCATAATTAAATACTGAATATGGACGCTTCTTGGTTAAACAATTCTTTGAAAATTTAAATGGTTCCTCCTTATGCCTCTTTGAGAAACAGTGTTTTGCAAACTCGTATTTTTCCTCCTAAAATATTTAAGTTACTAAATAATTTATATCAATTAATTTATTAACATTTTATTTTCAACTTACATGAAATTTTATTTTCAAATTTTATTATTAAATTTTATTTTCAACTTACATGAAAATCATAAGGTACAAGCTGTTCATTTTCATCATCTGAAAAAAACAAAACAACTACAACATGATATTGAAAAATTATGTAGGAAAGTAAAAAGAAAAATAATCTCATTTTTTAAAAATTATATATAGGGGTTATTCAAATAACATATGACAATTTTTTTATGACTATTTTTTAGATTTCCCTCCTCCTTTATGTGATATTTATAACATTCCCCTCTTCCCCAGTATGTGACAATGATATTTTTATTTTTACTTGTTTTTATTTTTAAAATTTTTATTATTATAAAAAATATATTAGAGTTTGCTAATAAAATTTTTTGTTACATCACACTGTAGCTATTCCCTTTCCCCATGTGATATTTGGTGACGCTTTCCAATATCTCTTCACTGCCTCTATACTGTCATGTTTTATTTGAATGGCCTCAAATTAAAAAGTAAGGAACATACCCTTTTGCACCATTAATGCTATGGGTAAATGTGTACACCATTAACGCACCTGCAATTACTGTGCACAAACCCCTTTGCACCATTAATGCTATGGGCAAATGTGTACACCATTAACACACCTGCAATTACTGTGCACAAACCCCTTTGCACCATTAATGCTATGGGTAAATGTTATGTGTGAAAATTATTATGATAAACTGAAAGAGTGTTAACTAATTAATTATTCACTCTAGCAACAACAAAAATTCTATTTTGGCTTTGAAGAAATTTTCCCAGTAAAGTACACTATATTATACTATATTATAGGAGCATGAGTGGGCAAAATTCTATCAGACATAAAAACTAATGGCATACAATTTGTTTGTTTTTTTTACTTTCTTTTTCTTGGTGTTCACCATCCTAGGGCTAAGGCCATTACAGTCAAAGAGGTTACTCGTTTTTTCTTTCCTTGCACTAAGGATGTAACATTGTTAAATCAGCAGACAACATCAAAAGAACAGTTATGGTTATTGATATTAAAGACATTAAAAAGCACAACCTTATAACTGCTGTTAAGACACTTATAATAGGCTTCACAGAGTTTTTGTAAGTTGCATGGCACATTGTACAATGCACGTCATATACGCACGTCATCAATGCACGTCATATACGCACGTCATCAATGCACGTCATCAATGCACGTCATCAATGCACGTCATCAATGCACGTCATCAATGCACGTCATCAATGCACGTCATATACGCACGTCATCAATGCACGTCATATACGCACGTCATCAATGCACGTCATCAATGCATGTCATCAATGCACGTCATCAATGCACGTCATCAATGCACGTCATCAATGCACGTCATCAATGCACGTCATCAATGCACGTCATCAATGCACGTCATTAGACTTTTGTATGGAATAATATGTATAGAATTTCGCTAAAAAATATTTTTTTAAAACCTTGTTAAATATATTGATGAGCGCTTATCTGAGAACAATTTAGCGTTGTTGCATCAGGATTAGGAAACATTGCAGGTGATTAACTTTTCACAAAACACCATTTGAATAATAGAGCTATTTTTCTTTTATGTTTAATGCAACGCAAAATTTTTTTAACTCTTCTAAAAGTTAGATATTATGGCTATAAATGGTGTAAAAAATCATATTTTTTGCACCATCTTAACAATTTGTCAACCAATTCTGGAAGTTCTTTTACACTTAGCTCAGGATCGTGGTTGATATTTCACATACCCAAATGTTTTTTAATCAGCTTGCTTATGGTTCCTAATTCCAGTTGCTTTTATTATCTATTTAAATGTTTTACTATACTTGAACTAGCTAAATCGCATTGTGACCAATCCTTTACTTTGATGAATATTGATGAAACGAATGGTAAATCAACTCAATTTAAATTTAAAAAAAGTTTAAAGTAATTAAATATTAACAATTTAAGTTAACTAACATTTTTGCAAACATTTAAAATTGTGATTAAATTAGCTTTCAGAATAATTATAAAAGTATTAATTAAAAAAAAAAAAATTCTTTCTAAAATTGCACAAAGTTTATTTTTCACAGTAAAATTTTTTTGTTCTAATACTTTTTTCTCAGACTGAATGTCAAATTTATGTAATTTAAAATAAATAACTATTGTGAAGAAAAATAAATATTACCATCACCAATTGTATCTTCTGACTTTTGCATTTTATGCTTCTTTATTCTAAGATTTACTGAAATAAAAAGCATCCAAGTTTAAAAATTGAAAATTTTCTATGTTTTTTATACTAATTATTTGATAGAAAATATATTATAAATTTTATGACATCTAATCATAATTAAAAACTGATTTTTAGACTCTGATTTGGATTTTTAGATTATTTGATTGGTTCCTATAATTATCTTATTTTTTTAATGTTAACTTAGCTGAGCTTAAAAAAATTTTTTTTTAATAAAGATTCATTCTACTTTGTTCTGCACTGTTCAGATAGAGTAATTTTTTGATTGTCTCTACTTTCTGACTCATGCTCAGTTTTACCTCATTCTTTTTTAGGTGATTCAGATTTTTTTTTTAAGTGTTTATTTTACTAAAACTTTTACACAATTCTTCATCTTAATTTCCATTCTATCATTATATTTTATAAAACTTATTTTTCATAAAAATATTTTTTAAAAATTGTTACCTCAATCTATATTTTCCTCTCAAATCTATATATTACCTCTATACTATATATTACCTCTCAAATCTATATTTTCAAAATATGAACCATGTCAAACAAGGTTGCTGCATGAAAATGCAATTTGAGCGCAGTACTTCCAGGGACTTGGTGAGGATCAAATAAGTAGCTCTCACTCACAAAGCAAACATTCTACCACTACCTCAATTAACATTTTTCTTTCTTGTCTTCGGGAAAGCAACATCATTCTTTATTTTAAAAACTCTGTAGTATATTTCTCCCAAAACCACCAAATCCATTGCATAATTTAAACTTGCATGTATAACTTTTCTTTATTGGGCTTATCATCTTGTTACTCCAGATTAGGGTAGGTGAGGATATATAGCTGAGGTAAAGGCAACTTACCTGGAAAAATGGAAAACCCTTATATAAACGACTAATTTCATTGAGGGTAAAAAGGAACTTGTGAACAATAGATGGTAATTATAAAGGATGATGGTGATCATAATTTGATCATATGATCATCATTTCATGGATGGTAATGCAATCTAGAAATTTATTGTGGATGGTAATCTTCCTAGTGGTGGTATCAAAATCAAAATACTCTGTACTGATTGTAATAAATTGATATAACTCTTCTATGATATCTTATTTAAATTAAAAAATGGCATTTCTTTGTGGTTTGGATATAAAAATATTTCATTGTAGTTTGGATATAAAAACATATCCAAACCACAAAAGTACAGAGCCATGGATGTTAAACTTTTATATAAAGCACATTGTTGCCATTTCTGTGATGCATCTTTTAATGCTGTCCAACTTTTAAAGACATTGTGCAAAAATGTGTTGTAAACATATTCAAACCTTTGCCTCATTGTCATAAAATTCTCTTTTCTACAAAGAAGCAATTTACATCTTTTATTATATAGTTTATATCTAGTTTCCACTAAATGTGTTAAAATAAAGTTTTCCAGACCTCAATTGGACACTTCTTTCCACACAACCCTATAATTCTTTATACCCTTTTAAAAAATTCATCAATAAAAGGTTATTTTTAAAACTATTGTAGAACTAAAAAAGTGCAATGTGAGATGAATGCATACATATATTTATCAATTAGTTAAAAGTTAATGTTAAAAGTAACTAATGTTTGAAGATTACAAGTCATAAAATGATCAAAAAATAAACACCTTTTACATTGATTTAAATATGTCAACAGCTTTTTATGAAAGTCTGTTAATGCTAGAGCTGTTGCTAGCTGACAATATTATTTTTTAAATTTTTATTATGTACAAACAAAGTTTAAAAACAGCTGTTAAAAAGGAGACTAAAAGAAGCAATCAAGGTAATTATGCAAAAAATAAACCTGAAAATCTAAAATAAACAAAAAAGAAAAAAAGAATTATAAAAATAGCATATTTTTCAATTAAGTTGAAGTGATGAAGTGAAATCTTTTAAAATCGGCTCCACCTCCTAAATTCCCATTCAACTTTCAATAATAGAGTTTTGGCTTATATTAATAAATTTTACATTATTTATTAAAAAAAGTCATTTAAAACCTTTTTTTTTTAATTTTAAAGAAGTTTTCAAATCAACAAAAAGCGGAATTGAAATGAGAAAAAAAGAAAAAATTTAAAATGAAATTGAATTTAGAAAAAATGCTTTACAAACTAAAATGCTAAACTAATTTGAAAATAAATTTAATTTCAAAATTAAAAAATTGCAAACATACTGTGTACAATAAAAAATAAAACAAATGACACCATATTTTGCTTATATTTATCAAAAATAAAAATTTAATAGTTCAAAAATACATAAGAAAAAACAATAAAAAAAGCTTTGTTGATAATAAAAACAGTTTAAAATTCATAAATAAAATTCAATTTTTTATATTTAAAATATAATTCAAAAAATAAATTTTATGCACATATTCATATAATCTGTGAAATAGAGATAACAACAGCTTTGGTACATTAACCTACTGAAGTCATCTCTATGACAAATTGATATTAGATTGGTTATAAAATTATTTAAAATTTTGTATTACATTAAAAAATGCATTTGTGTAAAATATTAAATAAAACTAAAGTACTACATATTTAAAATATATAACACTGCATTTATTAAACTAAAAAATGTATACCATAAAATTACATTTCTTTTAAAAATAAAATCAAGTTATTAAAATTTGAAATAAAAAGTAGACAAGTTAGTACAAAAAATGTACACAAGTTAGGACAAAATACTTGATATTTGTAAAACATAAAATTTATACACACTAAAACTGCATTTTTTTTAATAATTAAAAAGAATAACCTAAAATCTATATATTATTATATATATATATATATATATATATATATATATATATATATTTAAAAAGTATAATCTAAAACTATTATTTATCATTATTATATATTATTGTTATACAATCTTATTCTATAAAATTTCAATTTTTTTTTCAAAATAAAATATATCTACTAAAATTTATTTTTTAAAAACATTTTATCTAAAATATTCCATTAAAAATTGTTTTAATTTTTCCATAGATGGACGCTTTGCTGGCACAACATCCCAACATGATAACATTGTCATATAAATTTTTTCAGGAATATTTGATTTATCCATTCTACCACCGTTACTAACAAATTCTAATGCTTCATGATTGTTCATACCCGGGTAAGGTGCAAGTCCTTTTGTAAATATTTCATACAGTACAACTCCAAAACTCCATACTTCAGATTTTAATGAAAAATTTTTTTCTATAATAGTCTCTGGGGCAGCCCATTTAATTGCAAATCTTGTTTCACTTCCTTCCTCATAAAATTCATTGACTCCAAGAGGTAAATACTGGCTTAAACCAAAATCTCCTATCTTAATAACCATTTTAGATGCAACTAACATATTTCTTGCAGCTATGTCTCTATGCAATAGGCGTATATGACTTAAGTGTGTCATTCCAGAAGATATTTGAGTTGCAATGTGTACTAAATCATGTAAAGTAAGATTTTGACCTGTAGAGGTTTGGAGGAACTTGTGTAAAGCCCCATGCAAAGCTAATTCTAATACAATATAAACATAACTATCAAAATAACATACACCATAACAATGAATTAGATTCTTGTGTGACAATTCTTTCATGTTGTTTGCTTCTTTCAAAAACTTTGTTTCTTTCATTTTACAATTATCTGTTTTAAGAACTTTAACTGCCACATTAACAGAACTAAATAACCTTCCCTCTAGGACAATTCCAAAATTACCTTTACCTAAATGTTTTTTAGTGAGTGTGATTTTATTATGTGGGATATCCCAAAGTTTTTTTTGCGAACATGCATCTTTCAATGTCCTAGGTAGTCCGCCAGAAACTTTTTTATAATGTTCAACTAATGATGGAAGGTTGGAGAACTCTTCTTTGAGTATGTAAAATGTGCAGTTTTTTGTTTTTTTAATATGATAATGCTTCAGAGACGTTTCATTATGCAAAGACAAAGTATAATCTCCAGGTTTACTTGTACTCTTCCTTACTAGAAAAGAACCAGCTGATCCATTACTAAGCAAAGCTAAGTTGGCACTACTTCTGCCCATAACACCAGTGTACCAACTAAAAAAAAGAAGAGAAAAATTAGACAGTAATTATATATACTATAGTGTGTATGTATATATATATATATATATATATATATATATATATATATATATATATATATATATATAGGCAGGAGTAAAAACCACACAAGCTATGATAAGGCTGTCTTAAATAGATTTGGCAGACTAGGAGGGCCACCCGTCTCAATAATCTAGCGCGGGCTTTTGCTAGCTTTAACGTTCATAGTGCCCTCTATAAATGCTAATGCTGATGACTTTGCAAGACCTTTAAACTCGCGAAGCAATTCTTTTTTTATATTGAATACAAATCTTACACCATATCTTCACAACAGAAATTGTTCCATTCTCCACCTTAGTTTCTATCTACGCGATATTTGACGTCATAAAATTATCTTAGTTTTTTTTTATAGACGTTAAGTGTTTTAACTACCGCAATAAATAAATAACCGCTAACTAGTTCAATTTAACAATTAACTCAAATAACTATAAACGTTTTAAATATAAATTTATTATGAAAAGTTATGTTTTCAATTATTATTTTAATACTAATTTTAGTTCAATATTATTTAGTAAAATGATATATATGTATATATATATATATATATATATATATATATATATATATATATATATATATATATATATATATATATATATATATATATATATATAAATATATATATATATATATTTTTAATTATACCTGAAATTTGTTTTTGAATAATTATTGTTTATAAATGGTTATTGAATAAAAAATAATGATTATTTTATTTTTAAAAATTTCTGGGGTAAACAAAAAATATTAACATTGATAAACAAAAACCCTTATTAATTATTTAAACAGCGATTTTTTTTGACTAGCAAAGAATAATTTAGGTTTTTAAATTTATGTTGCTTAGCGTTTTAGCTTGCGTTATATAAAAATATAAAAAAGTTTCATGTCTGCTTTGAGCATATTTTTGATACTTAGTTTAGTACGCATTTGCCAGGAAATCAATTCATAAATTTTTTTCGTTATTGTAAAAATGTTTTTACATTAAAAAATCAAATTAAATATAAAAGTCTTAATTATGCAAACTCTTTTGTTAATTATTCTTAAAATAAAAAACAAATACTTCTACGCAAAAATTTAATCGTGCAAACTTAAAAAAATACTCAACTAAAATAATATAAGTATATTTAATAATTTGAATAGGATCTGTTTATAATAAACATTCGTTAAAGTTTGTTTATTAAAAATTAAGTATTACATAACCCTTAACTTATAAACAAACTCAAAAGTATTTTCATTCTACATATAATTACATAACTCTTTTTTTTTTTTCGTTTGTAAGCAATTTAACTTGGAATAATAAAATAAAAAAAGAATAAATATGAGGTAATCTTTGATAAGAAAAAATTTAATTTATTTATTGAACTACATTTTTTTTTTATTTGTATACCAACTTAAATAAAATATAGTTATTAACATATTAAAATATTTTAACATAACTTGTATCATTTATAAACCGTAGGGCAACTGCCCTTACGGCACCATTGGTTTTGGATAATACTTTATTTTGATGAAGATGACATAACTTACATTTGATTTTAATAACGTAAGTCTTCTCTTTTTCTGTGATAGTTTCAATTAGAAAAGCATCGGCAAAGTCCCAGGATTTAAAAATTTTTAAAGTAAATCTTTTGTCATTTAAACTACAATCCATATTTGAACTTTAAACAATTCGGAGAGAATAGAAATATACTAGGTTTTTATATACTAGTTTTTCTTATTTTATACGAAAAAATATATAGTTATTAGTAAAAAATAGAGACTATCATTAAGCTAAAACGTGCCTTAGTATTTATTTAACGGATTCTGTAATGTGCGCATGCATAATGAAACCTCTCTTATAAAAATATATTCAACGTAATATTAGTGTCACCAGCGGATGTTATAGTCTTTCTTTACCTTATAATATAACTTGATTTATGAAAAAAAAAAACTTATTGAATCGCATGCAGAAGAAATATAACAAATTATAAAATTCAAAAATTGCGAGTAACAGGTAATTTTTTTTTTCTGTGCCGGCCCCCTTCCCCCTACAAACTCAAAGGTAAAGGTACCTTTAACTAATAAGAAAAGCAAAGAGTAACAATTAATGTTTTTAATATGAATTTAGTAAAAAACTCTTAAAAAATCTATATTACAAAAAAAATTTATATTCTGTATTAATAAATTTGGAATATAGATTTTTTTAAAGTTTTTTACTGAAAACTTTAAAAAATTACTAATTTTTATTTAAAACATTTGCAAAAAATTTGAAGTTAAGAATTGACGAACAATTTTTCATGTTACTAAATATTTGAATAAAAAATTTATCGTGTAATTAATTGTTATAAAAAGTTAAGATATATCGCGATGAAAAGTTACTACACTTATTTTTAACGTAACTTCTTTTTTGTAATAAATATTTTTACATATCGTTATTCAAAAGTCAATGTGGTTTTTTTAAAAATTAATTACTTCTTTTATGTTACCGCTAATTTAAAAGTTAAAAAATGATAAAAAGTAGCTTAACCAAAACAGCCTTACGTGTACATAAAAATCGCCTAAAGCGTACATAAATTGCTCTAGGTGTAACGCTTTAAAACAAGGCCTATATATATATATATATATATATATATATATATATATATATATATATATATATATATATATATCTGTGTATATCAATGTTTTGTTATGTTAGCAACAAAATATAAATTAACAATAAAATTAAAATTATATAAAATAAAATTACCAATATCTGATTTAAAAAATAATAATTCTTACTCATATTTCTTTAAGTAGTCATATTTCTCCACATAATTATTTGGAATGTAACCTATTTTATTAGTAAGGAGGGAACGTACTTTCCACCATGAACCATCTGAAATACTTAATAATTCTAGCTGTTCTCCACATGAAAAAGACAGCTCTGCTTCATTATTACTAGTGAAGTTGAACAAGGCAACATAAATGTTTTCCTGTGACAAACATTGTTTTTGAGTGTTAGCTCTATAAAGTAAAAAAAAAACAAAAAACATTTACGTAAATAAAAATGTTAAAAACTTATTTACTTTATACCATATAAAAATATCTCAAAGTTAAAATGCTATGTGAAACCAATCTTATATATAGAATAAGTTAGCAGAAATTCGATCAACATTCACAAAAAGATTAATTTATTTTTGATGGGAAACATGTTTCAATGGGAGTTTTTCAATAGATGGAGAATTTTGCTTCTAAAAGCATATGTAAAATAACTAAATATTTTGTATAATATTTATTTCTTAAAATAAATTTTACAAGAAGCTATACTTGACTTTTATACTTTTGAATCCAAGTCAATCACCATCATAATCAATAATAAAAAATAATAAAACTAAAAAAAATTTCTTTAATATTGGATGAAAAATAGAAGGGATGGAAGTGAATGAAAACTAGAAAGAGAAAACCAATTTATGAAAAAAAAACTAATAAAAAGAATAAATCTATCTGTTACATAATATTGGATTGAGGAAATAGACACATACGTAATTAATTATTATTTTATCAATTTTTGATTAACTTAAAATATTATCTTTTTTTTAGATTTTTTTAAATTTCCTTATTTTTCAAAATAATAAAATATAAACATTACTATCAGATTCATAAAAGAAAATTCATTTGGATCGATTTTGAAAACATTCAAACTTAGTTTATTATTTGAAAATTAGTAAGTTTTAAATTACAAAACTATTACCCAAAATGCCTTTATCTTCACAAAAATATTGTTTATCTGTCATGATAGAAGAAGTTCTTATGATGGATCTATTTTTACATTACAATATTTATCAATATTGTTTTTTCAAATGAATTTAAGTAAAAAGTGAATTAAAATAGTGACTAAAAATAGACTTAATCTAAAGCAAATTAAAACGTTTGTTTTTACCCATTTAATTTTGTTCCAAGTTCATCAACATTTGATGTTTTCGGAAAACAAATAAGTCCAGCATTTCCCATCTCATTGTTGTATTAATAATTATTCCACTTAAAGAAAGTGTTTCAAAATTTAAAATGATTGGGAAAAAATCATTTTTATAATAAAGATGATGACAATAATGATGAACTTTTTTTTTCCTTTAATTTTTCAATTAATTCCAACATAATCGAAAATTCCTTGAACTATTTCTACATTTTGTAAAAATAAATATAAAATCACACAATTGCTAAATTTTTAAAAATAAATAACAAAAATTTCAAATAGCATATGAAACTGTTTTAAGTTGCATCACATATTATTGCATTATAGATAATGCCATACAGGGGTGTACACTCGGACTTTTGGTCAGTCGCCAGAAGGGCGACTGAACTAACTAGTTTGTTAATTTTGGTCGCCCGCCAACGTTTTGAGTCGCCCCTTGCAATTTTTTTTAATAAATTTCCACTTAGCGAAGTTCTCGCATGTTTTAGTCATTTTTTGTTATATGGCTAAATGTGCACTAGAAACAATATGCGCAAATAAAAGTAATATTGAAAACTATTAATAAAATTCACTTTTCTACTTTCAAAAAAAAACACATGCCATTATATTTTTAAACTTTATTTGAGCGCTCATTTTTTTAAAAAATAGATGTTGGATTACAACAAAAAACTGTTGACAAATATAAAAAACAATGTACAAATACTTTAAAACCCTTTGCTTTTAATGTGTTGTAATTATTACGATCTTATTTGTTACAAGAAAAACTATTTATATTTTAAAAGGTAAAAAACATTCAAGATTCAAAATTATTATATATCGTCATCAATTGTTACAGCTCTATCACTATCATCATCGCTACTAGCAAAAATATGTATTTTCTTTGACTTTTTAACTGACACAACTGGAGTTTTGTTGTCCATGTAAAGCTTTTTTGATTGATGCTAGTTTAATTTTTTCGTGATGGCTTTGAAAGCCAGTGTTTAATGGCTTTTGTTGGATCGTATAATTCCATTTCTGGACCAATCTTGATGCGCAATCGCATTGTTAATTACTTGTTACTGACTCGTGTTTTTTGAATTGATTTAATGTTTTTCATTGCGCTAAAGCCTTTTTCTGCGTCTGCCGAACTTAAGCTAAGGCAAAATAAAAAATCAATCAGAGAAAAAAGATTAGCGAATTTATCTGGTTTGATATTAGTCACTATTTGTGACCAAGATAGCGTTGGAAATGATTTTGAACTTGTACTTGTCCAAGTTGCTATTATTTTCTTCAATATTATCCACTCTGATAAAATATTTCCAACATCTACTCGTTTATATTTGAGTTGTTGCAAAGCATATCGTCGTCAATAAGGGCTTTTATGTTATTGTCTAGCATGTTTTTATGTAACTTTTTGTTTTTTTCAGCCGTGAAAAAGTCGCTCTCCGTCCATTCAACTGTGTTAAGCAACTCGTCCGCCTCCGCAAAGACATCTGATACATTTGAACATCGTTTCAAAATGCACTTTTGCATGGATATAGCAATAAAAACTCGATCTTCATATTTTATCACTTCATGCAAATTTACAATCCCATATATCGAGCGCTTGTTCCAGTAAAAACCAGAGTCTGGATTTTCTTCGAATCTTTCTAAATTGCTTGAGCGAAGACTTACCTTCATACGTTGAAACATTTTTTTTTTTGTGCTAACCTAATAAAAACATAAACAATATTATTATTGGTATATTCTTAAATTTCTAAGTAAACAATTTATTATTTGTTACATTTTTAAATTGAAAATTACCGTTTTAAATTGAAAAGCAATAGTGTATTTTTATTAAATACTATATAGTTAAGTTATATATGTAATTAAATATTTGAATTTAGTAGTTAATTCATTTGGCCTAAAAATTAAAATACCAAACTAAATAAATATAAAATTGCCTAAATTAATTAATATAAATTTTGATTGTTACTAATTTGATTGTTACTACCTAAAAATAATAAGTAAAAATACGTTAAGATATTATCAATATAACAAGACTTAATTCTTAAAATACCTTTTACACCATAAACTTTGCATGCGTTACAATAAACCACTGATATAAAAGTAGAATTTCGATGAAAAATGAAGAGTTGCTCACAAAATAGCCGCAGAATTTGGAGTTCCTTTGAAGTGCTGGCTGCATCATTCAGTGCCAGCTGCAATCGGTGCGACAAACAATGTAAGTGAGAAAATAGTTGCACCTACTAGCTGTTGCTGAACACTATGTCTCCGTCCAGTTAAAACATTAGTGCCATCCGTAATTAAACCTACCATTAGAGGCGGTATATTTTTTGCATGTAATATTAGTTCATTATTGTAGTCGTCTGGCTCTTCTTCACTTAGGAAACCTTCAAAATTGCATTCGTTGCCACTATCGCTAAATAGTTGAGGTATTTCATCTTCTATATGTACTAATTCCTTCGTCTTCTAGACTCAACTTAATAATCAACTTGCAAAGTCTTCTAGACTCAACTTAATAATCAAATTGCAAAGAAAATGATTGAAACTGAAATAACTATCTACTCTATTTAAACCGATTTTAGAGATAGTTTAAAATAATATACGTTTGATGGTTAAATAAATTGTTTTTAAATAATTGGAGATTGTCTGGTCTCACAATAATTGCAGGATTAGAATTTATTTGTAATTTAAAATGTAATTTTTATGGCGTAAATTGAACTAAATTTCTAATGATCAGTAGTAACTAGTTTTTAAAGTACTAACTAAAATGCCTTTCTAGACGCAATCTAGAGTCATTAGTCATTTCTTTAAATTTTTTTTTTTTCAGTATATGTGGAATTTCGACAAACTGGACAAATTTACTTCTATTACTTATCTTTTAAATTATTACATATCTCTAAAATTTAATTAAATAAAAAAAAAGAATGTTTAAACGATAAAACTTTTTTGTTTTTATTTTACTTGTATTTTCTAATTAACAATAGAAAATGCGGTAAACAAACTTTAGCATTATGACTTTTAAAATAGAGTTTTATTATTTTAGTTACTTATTGCATTAGTTACTTTGCATATTTTAAATCTCTTAAATTACACACACAAAAAAATAGAACTGCCGATAAAAATCAATAGTCACCTTTTCGGGCGACTTAATTGCATAAAAAAAATATTTTGACTTGCGCTTCACAATATTCAGTCGCCTGGTGCCACCGGGCGACCACGAGTGTACATCCCTGCCATATATCATAAAACCATAGCAAAAAGACAAAACAGTTTAAACAATAAATAACAATACTATAAAAATACACAACACTTTTACAAAAATATAAAATTAATGATAAAATTACAAAAGTTTAAACAATTCACTAAATAAAAACTAATTTATTAGATTTGCAAAATTTGGAAAGATATGTGCGACACAATATCTGATAGTGTAACAGAAGCTTCAAGATTGCGTAAGAAAACTTCTGATGGATGGATTACAATGTCAGCATAAGAAACCAAGTTTATTGTTTTAGCTTCGATAATTTTTTCATTAATATTTCCAGAACTAATCAGTTCAATAAAAGGTATAAAATTAATGTCAATATTGCTATTGATTGAACCACAACAACATCTTGTTCGAAATTTAGGATTAATCCAATGGTGATGAAATGAATCATCAATAAAATTTTCAAGAATTTCATGTTCGTTATCAATAGCTAAAGCTACACTTAAAAAAGATTTTACAACAACATCAACAACTTTCCACAGATTATTAGTACAGGAAATTTTTAGTTTTTTGGTACGCAAGTATAATAAATGCATTGCAATCATGGTTTCAATACATCCTCCACCATAAACTACCTGTGGTTGAACTGCTAAACCTTGCAACAAGGCCATGGATACTTCAAAACATTGAGCCAATGTATCAAGTTCTTCATCATTTTCTGCACACAATAACAGTGTTTTTGATGTTGAACTTGTTGATGTAATTTGTATAAAGTGTCGATTGTTCAAATTTAAAAACTTAAAATCATTCATTACTGAAATATATTGTGCAAAATCTGTAAGCATTAATGTTGACATAACTTTGCAATTGAATAAGGATTGCAATGATGAGAGTGCAATACTTCCAATTCGATCAACACAAATTACATTATTTTGCTTCAATAAATATTTTACTTTTGGGTGAACAACTTTTTGACAAATCAAAACATCAGCTTGTTTCGAAAAATTGTAACAAAATTTGCACAAAAAATTTAAAATCTCTTCTTTAGTTTTCATTCTAGAAGCTACAATAATGCTTTCCTTTTTCTCCCCTAAAAGCTCTTCACTGTCTATTGAAAGTGATACATTGACCAAACAAACACGCAAAGTTAACTTTGTAGATAACAGAGCATCATCAAAATAACTTTCAACAGGCAACAAAAAACCATCATAAATACAACTATCTTTTATCTTGGATATTACACGGACAACTTTTATGTCTTCTTTTTTCATGGTGCTAGCAAATGATGTTGTGTAAAGAATACATATATGATCTAAATCCATGCAACTGAGCATAATCTTAGGCATTAAGATGGTTTTAATGATTGATTGAACATCGCTAAATTTACTTATGTCAATGAAGATGTTGATGGTGTTTAAAAACTGTCTAATTTCAGAAAGGAGATACTTTTTGTCATTTGAAAGCTCAAAATAAGGCAGAGAATGTGAATTTAAAACTAAATTTGAAGACATGAGAAATGTAAATAAACCGCCATCCATAGTAACAGCAACATGATTTTTCAAAAAACAAATCATCAACTTTAACACATCGCATTTAGGTTGAAGAAAGTTGAATAAATCATGTGAAGAAACTACCATGCGAGTATAGTCACCTGTTGTATTCTTTAGTAAGATAAATTTTACATGACATCCAAATATTTTAGTCACAATATCTTGGCATTGCCTAATACTTTTATACATACCATCTGCATCACAAATGCGAACTGTCATCCTATAACAACAAGAATCATAAATGATCAATGAAAACATAACATCAAAATAATATTTGAAACTACTACTTTTAGCTAATTCATTAAAAATTATAAAAAAAGTATATTCTACTACTTATGTTTGCACAACACTAATACATTCTCCACTCTTTATTATTTAAATATTAACTTTTAAGCTCTTTCTGAGTACTACAATTATAGAAATGCAATACTTTGACAAATATTCATAGCAACGCCAAAATGATAGCATATTAAAATATTTTTTTTAAATATTTATTGCAAAATATAAGTTTAAATCTTTAATTTTCAAACTTAAAAAAAAAAATTATTATTTTTTGACAAAGTTCATCACAATTTTTTTTTTTATTATTAACACAATCACATCACAAAATAAAAAAAATAAAAAAAAACATTCAAAATATATAAAATGCACTTAATATTTATATGAATAATTAACAAGTCAAGATGTTTTTGATTGCTCAAATTAAATGTAGAAGCAAATTAACCAGTCCATTTTTTGAATACTTTGCACGACATCAGATCAAAAAAATGTTTATAGTTGTTTAGTCTTTGCAAAAACATCTTTGCTTAATATCACATCATACCCTACATCAGCTATTAATTCCTCAGATTGTTAATGAAATCAGTCTGTAACGCTATCTATATCTTTGTTCATTATTTTTTCACAAAAACACATGCAGCACTGCAAAGTAAACATGGTGCTCATTTCCTTGTAGAAAATTACATCCACCCTAAAAGAAAAAAATATTGGTTTAAAATTTAATGATAAACATAATTTTTAATACCATGAAAACAAAGCAATCTTTTAAAATGTCTAGTGGTCTACTGGTTCAATCAACATACAACTTTTTTTATTATCTCAGCGTATATACATACATATAATTAAATTTAATGGGAAATAATTTACCTTCTCCTTGTGATGTGATGAGAAGATAAATTAAATCTCATTTGCTTTACTGTTATACTGCTGCTTCATTCTAAACATTCATATTTTAAAAACTTTTTTTATATTTATTAAACATGTTTTTTTTTTTTTTAATTATTACTATTGAATATATAATATACTATATAATACCAATGACCAAACTTTTTGACTCAAGAACACTTAAATATTCACTTGGACCAAAAAGCTGCAATAAAATACTATTTAAAAAATTTATAAATAAATTCAAAAAGTAAACTTTTACATCTGTACGCTGAACTAAAAATGAAATTTTAAACTTATCTTTTATAATTGAGGACTTACAGGAAATCTCTTATAAAATAAAGTTACTGTATTTTGCACCATTATAAGATTTTGATCTTCTTAAAGAACTTATAGTTTTGTTTCAAATTGAAATGTATCTTCAGGGATTTTTCACATAAAAAAATTAATTGCATGGAATACTATTGCCATATTTGGGGTGGATCTTCTAATGATGCCCTTTCTCTTTTAGACAAGGTGCAAAAAAGCATTGTAAACGTAGTTAGAACTGCTTGTTGCCAACCTTCAACTATTATCACATCCTTGTAATGTTACTTCTCTTTCTATAAATACTATAATGTGCACTGCTCTAAAGAGCTAGAACCTCTTGTGCCATCTGCTAAAATTCATTCTCGTGTTACTCATTATTTAACTAAGTCTCATCCTATTACTGTAACTGTTCCTAAGAGCTTCAAAAATTCTTATTCGTCTAGTTTTTTTCTTCAAATATTATTTCTTTGGAATTTGCTTCCTTCATCTTGTTTTCCTAATTCATATAATTTGCAATCTTTTAAGTTGTCTGTTAATTGTTATCTTGCTCTATAAACTTCATCTTTTCTCTTCCAGTAACTTCCCACTCTAATAGTGGTTGCTTGCAGCCATGTTGAAAGTAAAAATGTTAAAAAAAAAATGGCTTTTAAGTTAAATACCACCTTACAGCAAAATAGCAATGTAAAATAGCACTTGGTTCATCAATAAGACCCGATTCATTAAAATAAATTTTAAACTACCTGTGACTTTTTGAATCTTATTAAATATAATTTACATTCTTCATCACTGACAATAACAATCACTGAAAATAATAATAAAAAATGAGGAAATAAATTTTTTTCTGATAAATATTCTCAATGAATCATGCAATGAACTTCACTTTTTAATAAGGCAATAAGACCAAAATATTTACCCACTGTTGCTGATGCACCATCTATAGCAACATTAACAAGCTTGTTATTAGGTACATTCGCTTTAACCAGAACTATTTAAAGGCTTCCTTCTTAAATCTACAAGTTTTGTCTTTCAGCTCAACCAAATCAAGTACTTTTTCTTTAAAAAATACATCAAAAGTACCTATGTAACAAGTACTTCTATTTGAGGTTTGTTTTAAAGTTTCCTCTTAAAGTTTTTTTTTTTTTTTCTCAGTATATTTGCATACACTTTCATTAAAGGATATTTGTGGATTTCTCCATTATTTGTTTGTAATTTTTTTTTTTTAACTTTGTGTCCAGTAGACAAATGTATATTGCGAACTATTTCACAACAGTCTCCTTTGTTGTTATTTTAGTGCTATATACAAATAATTATTTACTACATAATTAAATGATTAATATGTTTGAATTCTTCATTTCACAAAGTTTTATAAGATCATTCAAGTAGATCTTTATATTTACTCATTTTAAAACTTCTTTGGAGTGAGAATTTTAAATTCCAAAAAATATATATACATATTAAGTTTAACATAAGTTGTATGCATAATAATGATTTATAATAATGCACAAGCATTAAATATTTTATAAACTATACCTTTGTTCATGTATCATAAACTATATTATAAAACATATCTTTGTATATATTTTTAAAATGTGTTTATACAAATTTTCCACCAATACCCTTTCTATTCTTTTTTTTTTTTTAACCTTCTTAATGCCCCTGTAAGAACAACTACAGTAGAGGAGGCAAATCATTTATTGCTTTATTTTTATTTTTAACTCTCTCATAAGTCTAAAAATTTTAAACACAAACCTTGTTAAACAAGGCGACTGCACAGAAAAAAAGGTTGAGCATGGTACTTTCAGAGGGGTTGGGTGAACTGGAATTTCTTGACTATAAGCTGAGTGTCTAGCACTAGTCTTATACTGCATTACTTAGGAAAATCTCAAAATATAATGTTAAACAATAACAAGAACAAGAAGATCAACCAAAATAGTGATTAATCCATTAAATAAATATATAAAATCAAAAATTTGTGTTAAAAAGATGCTGTAAACTATATATTAAATGATATACTGAGTAAATAAAAACGTTATTACTAATAAATTTTAGCATTAGTTTACGTTACTGTTGACGTGAAGGTTATAAACAAATTTGATTGTCAAACAAAGAAATTTTAGATTTTATAACATCATAAAAAACTAAAAAAAATATATATGTAAATATTTATTAAAAATTTTAAAATATGTTATGGCATGTATATATTAATATATTAAGTAAATGTTTGGCCTCACACAAAGATGCCTAATGTATATTTTATATATATATATATATCGTCACATTAAAAGTTACAAATAAAGCAAACAAAAATAAAAAAACTACTGTTCAATGTTGGTGATCAAGTATATTTGTTAGTGTAAGTTAAAGATTTCAATAACAAATAAGCATATATAGCATATAGATCAATACAATAAGTACTTTAATTTTTTTTAATAAAAAATAAATGAATTGGGAGAAAGCATTATTATACTCACCCACACCTTAACACATCAGTTTCTGCATCTTCCACTTATTCTATTAGTATGTCAGTGATTTTTTTTAGTAGTTTATGTCTTGGTTAACATTAAGTCAAAAGACTACGGTTGCAAAATATATGTAAGCTATATTGTAAAGTAAACCAAAATTGCAAAAAAGATTATGTGTTAAAAAACTAAAACAAAATCATATTAAATATATGAACTATTATAATTGTCATTTGAATGTTTCAAAAAAAGTTTAATAAAAAAAAAATTAATATTAAAAAAATAAATAAAAAGAAATCATTTTTTTAAATCTATTTTATAAACAATTTAAGATTGAGTTCTTTATGTCATTTTGAGCAAAGTTGAAAATATTCATAAAAAGATAAACTATATTATAAATTTAACAATAATCAACAAGTGGTCATTTAAATAAAATAAAAAACAAAGAGCTTTAATTTATATTCATTTTAGCTAATACAATACTGCTTACAATTTTTTTTTCATAAACTTCCAAAAGTAACACATGCCATAAAACTTTTACAAAATAAAAACGATTGTTAACAATCGTTCAAAAATGCATTTTATTTAGTTAGCAAAAGCAAAAATATGACAAGCAAATTTAGGAAAAATAGATTAATATAAGACTGTTCAAACAATATGCCATATTTTTTTCCTAACTCCATGATATTTTGTAATATTTTTAGGTCCCACCAAACTATAGTATGTTATGTAACATTTATCTCAAAATTACAATTGATAATTTTTAAATGATTATACTTGATTTTGCGTAGATTTAGTAAAACTTTATAAAACAGCATGTCTCAAATGATATCTAGTAAAACTTTGCAAGTCTACTTTCCGTCCAAAAAAATCAGACAGAATGTTTGAACAGCTATAAAACTATTTAAGGGTTTGGCTCAAACAGAAATTTTATCTGGAGTGTAAGATCCCATATCATGTATTCCATCCTTGTCAACTATACGAATACTAAATGATGGCAAATTCACAATAAAGCGCTTTTGAACCTGGAATAAAAATATAAAATTTATAAATAACATTTCTTAAATAAAACTAATATTTAACATAATTTTAAATCAAATTAATAACAAATAATTTAAAATTTTTATCACTTAAAATTACTTTATTTACACATTAAACATTATAAATCTTAGATTTATTTCAAAATTAATTTCAACTTTTTTAAATAGAGTAAATCCCACGCATAAAAAAATTTTATTTAAGAAAAAATACTTTACTTAATAAAATATTCCGAATAATAAATTAGCTTCATAATGTGAGAAAATCATTTTTTAACAAATTCACTCCTAACAAAGCTGCAACCAATAATTTTTAAAATTTTGTTGTGGGTTAACAAAAAGCCAAAAAAAAAAAAAAAAATTAAAATCTTGTGCGATAAGCAAAGAAAAATACTAGATAAGAATTTTTGTTTGAGCTTGAACAGACATGATCCACTGAAATGTTGTTTATTGATAATAAATAAAAAAAAGAAGACCAAAAAAAGCTGAGATAAAAGCACCTGTTTAGTAAACTAACAGAATAAATAACAAAGAACTTGATTGGATAAAATCTTTTAATTAATATACAAATGGTTTTCTTGTGACAGAGTTCTTTTAAGTTCAATAGCAGTAAAAGGTGGAGTTCCAGGAGACTCCATTTTATAACCATTGCTATTTATACTATGACTTTTTATGTGTGCATATTTTAAAAGTTTCACTTTGTCAAACATAAAAGTTATTCACTGCCTGTCAATCACTAGTTAGTGATTGACAGACAACATTGTTAGTTATACTGCTGAATACTTTCTAAAAAATGAATTAGTACAACACTCGGCAGATCAAAAAATCTCAAGAAATGTCCAAAAGAATTATCTTAACATGGTAAAAAAAAGTCTAAAATTACTGAGATGTTACTTAGGCTGTTAGTTACTTATGTTAATTACATATGGCATCAATAATATTTGATTTTGTCAAATAAGTTTTTACTACATCTAAGGAGTCAAATATAATCAAAAGCAAAATGGAGCTAAGATACATAACTACAATCACAATTTCACTCCTAGTAGTAGCACAAAGACCGAAACTAAAATTATTTTTGAACAATTCAAATATTTATTTGTTTTTGATTTCCAAGCTGATAGAAATATTAAAGAAAACTTATTAATACAAGCCTTGAAATACTTTTATGCTTGAGATGTGTAGGGTTCCATCACACTTGTATGCTTGAGATAATATGTGTTGGGTCCCATCACACTTGCATACTTTAGATAATAAGTGTTACCTATATGCTTAAACCAGGCCTCCGCAGGAGTAAATGAGTGCGAGAGCAGAGAAAAGCTCTCAGAAAATGAACACGGCAAGCTATGCGAGCTGCTTGTCTAAACAGCTTCTTGCAAGAGCTTTTGGTTTAAGCACAAGCTATCTGTTTATTTATTAAAAATTGCTTATTAAATATATAATTTGGTTTATACTTAAAACAAGCATATGTTTGTATCTTTAATAGGAGTGTCTCGAATAAGCTATCCGGTCGGATGTCTAGGCCAGATAGGAGTATTATTCGGTATCCAATATCAGGCCCAATAATACTTTATCCTGTGGTTTGTATACCGTGTTCATGTCATTTGAAAATTGAAAAAAATCTAGCAATGTTAAACTTTTAAATAATACAATGTTAATGGTTTCTATTCAATATTGTTATTATTATTATTATTATTAAAATACTAATAAAATTATATGTGCACAACAAATACATCAGTTTATCACTCATTTATTTTTCTTTTATCTTAATGCAGAGAAATTAACATTTCTGCCTTAATCCCTTTTTCTCAAAAACAATGAAAACATTCTTCTGAAAACACAGTGGATGCAGATGGTGTTAATAACTTAAGTGCTAATTCTTTTAGCTTTTGAAACTTGTTTCAAAAGCTAAAAGAATTAGCACTTAAGTTATTAACACCTAAGTTATACTTTAGCACTCTCCATGTTTCCAATACTTCAAAACAACATTATTTTTCTATAATCAAATGATTAAAGAAAATATCAACTCCTTGAGCAGCTTTTACAAAAGAGACCTGATCACAATTCAATACATTTTGAACTTCCTTGTGCAGCTGAAGAAGATTCAATATTAATTTTTTTTTCCTCTTCATAAAATTTACAATGAAATTTTTTTGCGTGATACTGCAGTGGAGATTATGGGGTGGAAAAAGACTTCTGACCAGATTTATTACATCCCCTGCTAATCTGCTTTACACATGGAATGCAAACTGCTGTGAAATCACAACTACCATTAATTTTGAAAAGCTTCCAAACAAAACCTGCTATTTAAGGTTTATTATGGTAATAATTTTTCATAATAAAATATATATTTTAGGATTTGAACTGCATTATCAAGCCAGATATCCAGCCGTAAAATTTTTAAGTATCCGGTTATTCGATATTCAATAGATAATATAAAAATGTTATCTGGGACACCCCAAATCTTAAACGTTATAAGAATATATACATAACAAGTGTCATTTATTACGCTGTGAAAAAACTCTATAGACAAGCATTTTTTTAGGTTTCACACAAGCTATCCATTTATTAACATTACCTATTGAATTGAAAATTTGACAAAGAACTATAAAGGGTTTTACTGCTTATAAAAAATGTTTTATATTTTCTTATTGTAATCGAACACAGGTATTTTAAGAATTATTACAGCAATTAAAAATTTCAAAATAAGAGTGGATATATATTAAAGTAATTAATATATAAAATATCTAATTCATTGCATAAAATAAATACTGTTATGCAATAATTTAAAGTGTAATAATTTTATATTTTGTCAATATTATATTAATATTATTTTATAAATTTATGGCTCTTGGAAAAGTATTTTATTTTTTAGTGTTGGCATCAATAATATTTTATTTTGCCAAGTACCTTTAGTGTTTTTAATTTTAGTTACAATGATAATTTAAGAGAAAAATTATACTTTTGCGATTTGTATTTTACATTTTTTGAAATAAAAATATAAATAATTAACCAAAATAGTCATTCTTGTTACATTTACTACAATATGACAACTTTATCGCCAACATTTGCTAACTAATATAAAGAATAAAATCATATTTATTTCTTTATTGCTTCTCCTGAGAGAGAGAAGCATTAACTATAACATTCATAAACATGCAATAACTAAAATATTTAATAAACAATATTTGTATGTTTCTTTTATATAGACTAAAAATATTTATTACATAGCATATTTATTGCATAACAAGGTCAATTCATTCAAAATTTTAACTAATTCATTCAAAAGTTAATAACATTTTTTTTTGTTACTCTCTTACTTTTGAAATCACACGGCGTGATTATTATATGGCCATTATAATGTAATTATGTTTTAAAATACTTTTTTACTTAAAATATTTTTAATGCGATTTTGCTATTATTTAAAATAGAAAAGTTTAAAACTTATAGAGTTTAATCTCCAGGGTTAGGGTTGTTTTTATTTTAAAATATAAAAATGCTAAGCGTTTTAAATTTTAATCCAATCAAATCTCGCGTTTTACATTTTAATACAATTGTAACATTCCATATTGCATCCACGTGAATTCAAATTAAGCATTCTGATTTACTTAAAATACATTTATAATCTGTTTTAAAAGTCATTTTTTAAATGTTGCTTTTTCTAAACAACATTAATAGCAATTTTGTAACTATCATAACAAACTTTATCATTATAAAATAGCAAGACAATAAGTAGTAAAGAATTGTTTTTTTTTTTAATTTTTTATGACAAACGTGGTGTTAATATAAAATTGTTTTAAATTAAGTTTAGGCAGAAATTTGGGGACCCATACCAGTATACTAGTATCAAAATTGGTCTGGATATGTGTCTGCTAGGGGAGTATGGGCCAGAGCATGAGCTAAAGCTATTAATTCCCTTAAAAGCCTGCTTGAACTATAAAAACAACCTGTGGATCAGACTAATTAGGTTGTACCTCTCAAAGTCATTTTATTGGCTTTCAAGAGAAATATTTGTTGGATTCCATCACACTTATTACTGACAATTTATATTCTAAAAACTGTATCTGTAAGACAATATAAATTCAGTGAGACAATATAAATTCAAAGAGCACCAAAGCATTGGTGCTCAATCTCACAAACATATGGGCAAACTTCAAAAATAAATAAAATTTTTTATTAACAATCAAAGTTTTTAAGGTTTTTTTTAAGTACTTTTAATACTTTTTAAATTTTCATCTCTTTTTTTGTAACTTTTTGTGTTGATTACTATAAAACTTTCAATGCAAAAAAATCAGTTTTAAATAAAAAAGAAAACCCTTGTAGTTTTTTTTACTTAGAAGAATTCATCATATATATAACCATGAGAAAAAATTTCAGAATCATATCTTTGAGACAACTTAATATATATTGCTTTTGCACAGGTCATCAGAAAGTAAAAAAAAATTACATTATTTTCAAATTGAATTTTCACATAGAAACTTTGATTTTGTCGTCAATTTTAAGTTCTTTATCCAAAAAAAATAGCCAGGTACAAATTTTCGACACAACTAAACAAATATTATATATGTTAAATCTAATTATGTGATCCCTTATGCTTAGATAAAAAAATAGGAAAGAAAAAATCAGTCAAGAAAGAAATCGAGAATTTAAATACTTTCAAAACCGTAAGGAGTTAAATGCTAAAATTTGGAGTGCAGTTATTTTTCTTGAATAAAAACTAGTGTACCAAATATTATTAAATCTGAGATGGTATTGCGTCTTGCGTAAGTTAAATTTATTTGGAATGACCTAAACACATAAAAAACCAATTATACAGAATGACTTACCTGAGCTATTACATTTTTCATTAAATCCATGACCTCATTACGAGACATACCTAGAAAATTAAAAAAAACTTAAGTTTTTAACCTATACAGTAGATTCAATAATTATAATAAAAAATATTACTTATAATTGCAATTTTTAACTTTAAAATATTATAAAATAAAATAATAAAATATAATACTTTAAAATGTAAAAATAAATCAAAAGAGTTTAAGTGCTAAACAAAAGTGATTTTAAGAAAACATTGTATTTATAAAGTGATTGCATTTCAGTAACATCATTTCTATAACACTTATATTTGAGAAGAAATTAAAATACCACTTCTCCAGTGTCTGTCTAGTGTGCTAAGTGAAAAAAATGATCCATAACCATGAGAACCAAAAGGAACCTAAAAACAATAAAATTGAAATGAAAATCAAAACTTTGCTTTACTTGAATTAAAACTCATAAAAAATTGTTGAAAAATTGAAAAAATATAGATAACTTAACAATTCGAAAACTAAGTTATAATTTTAAGTATACTGGAGTGTACTTAAAATTGTAACTTATATTATTAAATTAATAAAATTTATTATTACTTTGACCATTGCTCCTAAATAGTCCATGTGGTAAAGTGCTGGTCTACCTTCATCATCACAACCAGATAATAACAAATTAACTTGATATGGTGTCTAAAAATTAAAATTAAAGGCTGATCATGTTGCTTATTTTTGAAAATGTATTCACAGTTAATATAAGAATGTATACCCTGCTACGTAAAAAATCAGCCATTGTTTTTCTCACGTAGTTAGCACCACTATGCGGAGTCAACTCATATCCTAATAAAAAAATGTTTGTCATAAATACTATATTGTAATTAAAAATAAAACAATCATATTGCTATTAACTTTACTATTTTTTTATGTATACATATACACTTTTATTTACACCTAAAATCTATTGGGAAATCCATATAATGGAAGAGTTAAAACTAAATTTTACAATTAGATGCTATTTATTGCACTAAAAATGGCATTCAATTAAAACTTATGCAGATTAAGACTGAGTATTTATGTTGTGGTACTAACAGTAAGAGGACTACCATTCCAGATTTACAAGCCCCTCGCCCCTCCTATTTTTACCCACAATTAAACAGAAGGCTATATGTTTGTTTTTCTTTTCCTATGCAAGATGCCCAGTGCTTTAAATAGTTATTCAAAGGATGCTGATTAATTAGCTGAAATTGAAAAAAAATTGAAAAGCTGACATACTAGATGCTCTGCAGGATGTTAGCTTTAGGCTTGTAACAATTAGCCTTGTAATCCTTGTTACGTTATCCTTACTTTTGCTTGTTGATGTTTGTTATCATTGGATGAATCTTTGCTACTTTTGGAATCAGGCTTGCTAGTGGAATAACCAAGTTGGCCCTTGCTCTCAACTTGAAGCTTATGGAAATGCTTATCCTCTTTGCGCAACTATTCACCTTTTATCTTTGTCATGCCAAACAGTTTATTTAATGCATCAAAGTTAGCTTTTCTTTTTTCAGAGCAATTAGTCTTTTAGAGATTTTGCTAATTTTTCATAATAGCTTGATCAGATACATTCAGAAAGTTCAATATTTTACTCCATAAGCAGAATGTCTTCTTTCAATCCTTGTGACGCTATGTGGGTCATATTTGTAACATTTGCTAGTAAATGTGAACACGCCAAAAACAGAATTCAATCATGTGACTGAGGCTAAGAAAAACTAGATTAAAAAAAAGTTTTCCAGACAACTTTCTGACAAAAAAACAAGATTTCATTTGTAAAATTGATCAATCTTGGTGTGATCCATTTTAAAGCTTTTTTATAGAGTGAAATAACTAATAAGACAGAAAAAGTCTTTTCCAAAAAATAAATTTTAATTTAACATTAGAAAAACTATTAAGAAACAGAAATATTGGAACACAATTTAAACCTTAAATTTTATTATCTTGTTATAAAATTATAAAAACTATGTTATAAAATTAGAAACCACATTTTTATTCACTGGATCGATAAAAAAAATATTATTGCCTTATTTAAATAGCCTATAAAATTACATTCAGGGAGAAAACTTCAAAGTAAAAGTATTTATTAAACATCTATAATTATTAATTGTTTAATACAGCTTTATTCATTAGAAGAACAAAGTTTGGTATTAATAATTTCTTTCATTTATTTTTATTTATAGATTAATGTTACAAAAGTTAAAAATTTTTTACCATATTTAAATTTTAGACAATTAAAAAAAAGAATACTTATTTTATTTCTATACCATTTCAATTTACTCAAAAATTGAATTTTAGTGTTAAGAATATTTAATTGTATAAATTTTTTTATGAAGTCTTTTTTTATTTAGTCTGTTTTTAATAAATGTTGATTTGAGAATTCCACTGGCAAATAAAGATTTTAATTTACTTTTAATTTGCTCAATTTTTTTGAAGGATCTGTGTTAATCAAAACTTTGTTATTTTAAGAAAGTTCAGGAATTGACATTATTATTATTTTAAACTTGGATCTGCCAGTGAACAAACTTTGAACAAAAACAGCTACCATAGTTACTGTATTTAGCAAATTAAGAGTTTTGTTAAAAAGAAAAGAAGAGGAAGAAAAGCATATCACTTTGAATATAAAATCAAAAAAATCTAATAAAATGTGACCAGTTGTTAAATTAGCTGTTAAGCGCATTCCTAAGGCTATAGGTCTAGAAATATGACTAGATAATTCTATAAATACTAATAAAAGGAAAAAGACCTAAAGGAGCTCCTGTTGGCATAAACTTTTGAAATTAAAAAACCCAAATACTATTATTGACAATCATATAAAAAATGATAATCCAAAAGTTAATGAAATATGAGTGGTAGATATTAAAGAAAAAATAAAAAATCCTAATAAATTTATTGATTAAAGATATAAAAAAAAAAACAAAGTTAGTAAGAATAATACGCATATTCACAAATTGTTTCCTAAATTTTCTTTTATAATTTGAAAAAAATGATTAATAATCATTTCAAAAAACAATTGAATTCTTGAAGAAATTAAAAAAGTTAAAACTTGAAGCTACAAAAATTATAAATACAGATAGTATTAAATGAGTCAAATAAAAAACTAAAAATTTTAGTAATTAAAAAATGATTGAAATAAGAAGACATTATAGTTTTAATATATGATGTAATAAAGAAAATTGTTTCAAGTTATTTTTATTTGATTCTAAATTATTTGAAATAAAATTGAAAGTGAAACTGCTAAGACAATAAATTACAAAAAAATAAATTTTAATTGCAACTAAATAAAAATCATGAAAAACTTAAGTCTAAAATTAACAAAAAGTTATAACAGTATTTTGCTTACGGTTTTTTTGCAAAACTTTTGCTTTTTTAAATATAGGCAACATTGATTAACAAAAACATTTTTTTTCCTTTTAGGAGGGGGTCAATATTTATATAAAAGTATTGATAAATAGAAAACAAAAAAAAAGAGAAAAAAAATATAATAAATAAAATAGAATAATAAAATAAAAGAATAAATAATAGAATAAGAATAAATAATTAAATAAAATAATTAAATAAATAAAAGAATTAGAGTAAATAAAAAAAGAATAAAAAATATAAATTACCATTTCTCATTTTATAGAGTTGTATATTTTTAGCAATATATTCAGCAAAGTTATTTGTATCACCTGATTCTCCACATACTGTCATCATTAAATTTTTACCTAATTCGTAGTTTTTATCCAAATCTATGAAATAAAACCATTTTAAGTTGCTATTTATACTTTAAAAATTATATTTACCATTTATCTTATCTTTTATTTTTATATTTATATTTACTTTTATTTACTTTTACTATGAACATATGAACTGGTGATATTTATAAAATTATTATATTTTACAATATATCAAAAAATATATGAGTTTAGAATATATATATATATATATATATATATATATATATATATATATATATATATATATATACATATATATATATATATATATATATATATATATATATATAGACTTGCATGGTAGTCACAAAGTTTTTCCCATAAACTGATGTTTTAAAGAGCGCGTTAATAAGCCTGACCAGAAAATGTTAAAAAACTTCAAAAATAAATTTTTTTTTAAATAACAGACTGCCTGCCCAAACCACACCCTTAGTCGATGTAGCAGCACTCCCTTACGAGTCAGGCTATTTGTCAGTCGATGTAGCACCACTCCCTTGCGAGTCAGGCTATTTGTCAGTCGATATAGCAGCACTTCGTTGCGAGTCAGGCTATAAGATAGTCGATGTAGCAACACTCCCTTGTAGCAGCAGGCTATAAGATAGTCAATGTAGCAACACTTACGCATGTTTTAAAAATGTTTTTTAATAAAACAAAAACAAAAACACCACTAACTAAAAAAAACTTTCTACTCATTATTATTGCAGTTTTTTTAAAAAACAAAATTTAATTAATAAAATTTATATATATATATATATATATATATATATATATATATATATATATATATATATATATATATATATATATATATATATATATATATATATTGATGACTTTATTAGTAGATAAATTGCTTCGCAGTGCGCTGTCATGGACTAACTCTTTGCTTAGTTGTCCTCTACAACCAGCTCTTGGCTCTCTTGTGATTGTTGGTACTCACCATTTCACTTTGCCAATTCCTTTTAATATTTTAAACTGTTGAATGAGGTAATCCCTTTGTGGACGCATAGTTAGACTAGTTAGGTTGAGTTTGATTAGCCTTTCTTTATAGCTTTGTTGCCGCATTGCATGTCCAATCTTGGTGGCTTGTTGCTGAACTTTTTCAAGTGTTTTTCGGTCCTTTTTTGTCTATGGTAACCAAGTGCATACTACATAATTCAAATGCGGTCGGACATATGTTGTATAGAGTTTTTTCCATAGTGCTGGATTTTGCAATATTAACGTATTTTTAACAGTCCAAAAAATTTATTTGTGATCGATGCAGCTTTATTGACTCGTTTTTCTGGCTTAAGATCTTGACTTATTGTGACTCCAAGGTCTATTTCTATCATCGTTGTTATAAGATTTCTTTTTGCGTCTGATAGTGGACCTAGCATAGTGTATGCTGCTGCTTTTTTTTGCTTTTCAAATGTGCATCACTTTCAATTTACTAAGATTTAGTTGCATTTGCCAAGTACAGCACTAATCACTTATCTTGTTAATGTCATCTTGCAGGCTTTAAGTGTCAAGCTCTTAATTTCCTGGCTGGATTAGTGCTATTAATTTGGTGTCGTCGGCAAACATTTTGCAGCATGAGTTAACATTGTCTGGGAGGTCGTTAATGAAGATGGCAAATAGAATTGGTCCTAGCACGGATCCTTGTACAACACCCCTAAACACTGGTGCCTATCCTGATGTTGTGTCGCCTAGAATGATGAGCTGTCATTGATTTGTTAAAAATGAGCAAATCCATGCAAGCAGTTGAACTGTTGCTCAGTTAAATAATAAGGCTAGTATGTTGTACTAAATCAAACATTTGCTCAGTTAAATAATAAGGCTAGTATGTTGTACTAAATCCAATGCACATGAAAAGTCAAGAAATACGATATCTAGTGGTATTTTTTTTGCCATTGTTTTGGTGGCTAAGTTCATAGTTTTAATACATTTAAAATGTATTTAAATACTAAATAAAAAGTTTTAAATAGGCTTAAAAAAGTCATTAAAAATGTGCAGTAAACTAACAAAGCACTAACCCACAATCTTTTGAAGCATCGTCAATAACAATAGTAGATCACGAAATAAATTATAAGGTTTAGATGCACAACTTGGAGAATCCAACAAAAGTGCGGACTATTTCAATGGGGGTAGTGAAAACAACCAAACATCTTATATCTGAACATTAGTATTAATGACTTTTAATTTTTTTATTTGTTTAAAAAAAAAATTATTACAAATAGCAATAAGTTTTCTCGATTTCTTGTGCATTAATAAAAACAGCAAATCTTAGCAAAAACATTTTAAAAACAAATTAAAAAACTGTCCGTATATCAAGTGGAAATAATAAAATAATTTCATTATTTGCGCTTTATATAATTTTATAAAACACCCTAAAAATAAGAAAAAAAAAATCCAGTAAAATATTTAGTAATATTATATAATATTAAAAATAATATAAAATATTATTTTTTTAACAATTTTTTTTTTTAATTTTAATTTTTTTTTAGTTTAATTGATTTTCTATTTTGTATAGAATTTATTTCCTTTTTTCAAATATTGTTGTTTTATTCCAGAGTTGATAATGCCGCCCGGCGGCAAAGCAACTTTTTGCCGAAAAGCTGACTTTTTAAGGAGGCGGAAGCTGTTGACGGCAGCCTCTTGATCAATTTTTAGCGGCAAAATATTCTTTCTTCCGCCTCCAGTGCCTTCCGCTTTTCTATTGGCGACCGCAGCCAGAGTTCTTTTTTGGAGGCAAAATGTTTTTGAGGCTGACGCCAATAGAGTGGCAGAAGCCAATGGTGGCTGCCTCCAAAAGAAATTTTGGAGGCCAAAATTTCTTTTGGAGGCTTCAAAATTTCTTTTGGAGGCCGCCTCCAATGGCTTCAGCCTCCTAACTGGCTGCCGCAGTCAAATTGGAGGCAGAAATATTTGCCTCACGCAAATATTTCTGCCTTGAAAAATAATTGCTCGTTTGATTCAAAGTAATTAAATATTAACTAGAAACAAATGTCAAATACAAATACAAATGTTGTAATAAATAAACTTGTTGTAATAAATAAATAAATAAATTAACTTTATTAATTTTAAATAATGTTAAAAGATGTTGTGTTTTTCAAATATTTTTACAATATATAATGACTAGAATTAATAATTTAATGTTATGGTCAAAAAATTAAAGTTTTACATGACGTAAGGGCGACAAAATATCAAACGATCAAAAACTTTAATTATTTGTCATAAACTTTTTTTTTTTGCTTAAGTAAACTTTTTTTTTTTTGCTTAAATAAAACATTACCATTTTTATTTCAATTATTTTGTTTGGAATTTAAATTAATTTTGGCATATTTATTTTAGTTATTTTATTCAGAATTTAAGCAAATGTTCGTTTAAATTTTATTTAGAATTTAAAAAATACAATCTTCCCTAAAAATAAAAACCACCTTTTTTCTTTTTTGTATTAATTATTACAAAAGTTTGACTAGCAATTTGTATTATTACAAAAGTTTGTATTAATTATTACAAAAGTTTGACTAGCAACTGGCCAATTAAATTTGATATGCCAGATTTAATTTTAGGTGATCAAAATGTCAATTTTCCAAAAGTAGATGATCTTTGATCGTTGATCGACGCTATTTCAAGCGCTATTTATATATATATATATATATATATATATATATATATATATATATATATATATATATATATATATATATATATATATATATATATATATATATATATATATATATATATATATATCTATGTATGTATGTATGTATGTATGTATGTATGTATGTATGTATGTATGTATGTATGTATGTATGTATGTATGTATGTATGTATGTATGTATGTATGTATGTATGTATGTATGTATGTATGTATGTATGTATGTATGTATGTATGTATGTATGTATGTATGTATTTATGTATGTATGTATGTATTTATGTATGTATGTATGTATGTATGTATGTATGTATGTATGTATGTATGTATGTATATATATATATATATATATATGTATATATACATATATATATATATATATATATATATATATATATATATATATATATATATATATACATATATATATATATATATATATATATATATATGTATGTATGTATATATATATATATATATATATATATATATATATATATATATATATATATATATATATATATGTATATATATATATATATATATATATATATATATATATATATATATATATATACAACCCTCGCAACTAGGGTGGGCATTCGGCAAAGCGATTTTGGTTGAGCGACTTTTAATCATTTTTTAACTTTTAAATTATACTATAAGCAATAAGATAAAAAAAATAGTTAATTTTTTAAAAAGTCACATTAACTTTTGAATGACTTTTATGTTAAAAAAAATATTAGTTACAAAAGTTTGAATGACAATTATGTTTGATATAAGCTCTATCTAAATAATAAATTTATATAATACATTTTTTTATCAGTAAATATTTACTAATGAAAAAAAACTCAAATAAAATGAAAAGTTTATTTTTATTTTATTTTATTTTATTGTAATGATTGATTTTTTTAACTTAAAGCAAAGATCGTAAAAACATAATTTGATTCTGATAAAAAATATATGATTTAATTTAAAACTAATTTAATAAAAACATATAATTTTATTCTGATAAAAAATATATAATTTAATATAGATTTAAAAAATATATTTAAGTTTATTAAAATTGAGAATAGAATTTTCATGAATGTTTGGTATTCAATAATTTCTTTTGAGATAAGAAATTTGTTAATACCAAACATTCTTAAAAATGCAATATTAATTTTGTTATTTAACATTAAAAAAAATAATAATAATAAACATTCCTTTATAGTAATAATAATAAAAAAAGCCGTAAAATAACATTCAACTCATTTTGCGGTAATTAAGTTAATGTCTTAAAAAAATAAAAAGATAAAGAGATTTTCATGATGTCAAATATCGTGTATGTATATACATATATATATATATATATATATATATATATATATATATATATATATATATATATATATATATATATATATATATATATATATATATATATATATATATATATATATATATATATATATCAGGCCTTGCGATAAAGCGTCGGGCGATGTGAATTTCACGTCAGCAAAGAGCGATTTTTATTTATTTTAAAAACCGCACGCAGTTGATATAAAAGTTTGAATTACAAAAAAATTAAATATGCTCATTATTTACAAGTAAAAAAAGTTCAGATTAAAAAAAAAGTTTAAATCTTTTTAAGCTAACATTTTAATAAATTATTCAGCAATAGCAAAGTTGTCGATAAAATTGAACAAAAATACTTTCTTTTAGTTTTAGATTTTTAACTTAAATAATTATTTTACGGGGGTTTGTTATGTTTTAAAATTATTCCACAGATTTAAAAATATTGATTAACTGTTTGATGTATTTAAAGTATTTAAGAGTAATTTCGAGGAAACATTTTAAAAAATGGTAAGTGCAAATAAAAATATTTTATTTGCGCAAAGATTTTTATTCTAACATTTTATTTTATTTTATTTTACTAGAAATAAAATTCCTTGTAAACATTAAAAATCTATTCAAAACGTTCGTTAAAGTTTTTTAGTAATACGAGTGATTGTGCTTATTAACCGCTTTATGAAAATAAATAAAAAAAGATTATATAAAATCGCTGGTAAAAATATTAGCTATTGCACAGTTTTTAATCGTACAATATTAAAAATTCCAGTTTATTACTCGCTGACTTTTTAAAAAGAAAAAATAATTATTTGAAAAACTTTAAATTACATATTTGAGAAGAAAAAAAATCAAATATCAGCATTTATAATCTTTTTTAAATGTTTAGTTATAATGCTTTATATTCGTTTAGTATAGACAAAACATGACCAATGTCGAGAAAATAAACAAATGTTTTTACATTTTAAAAAACGAAACATTCCAAAACATTTTTAAATAATAACATTTCTACATTAATGATTTAAAGTAGTTTTGCGGTAATTAAGTAAATTAATGCAGTTAATGTCGCTAAATATGAAAAGTAAATAAAAAGAATTTAATGACGTCAAAAATCACGTCGTGCTTATGCGTCGCGCAGTTTTTATTCATCACAAGGCCTGATATATATATATATATATATATATATATATATATATATATATATATATATATATATATATATATATATACACACCGTATTTGGGCGCCACCCAATATGAGGACCTTTTTGTTTTTGACACCAAATATTGTTTTTTTTGCGAAAAAATGCTGATTTTCTGCTAAAGTTTGCTAGAATGGGGGGGGGGTACCGCTGTCCAAATTTTTTTCCTAGAATAGGCCATGTATACATATATATATATATATATATAATATATATATATATATATATATATATATATATATATATATATATATATATATATATATATATATATATATATATATATATATATATATATATATATTTATGACCAATTATTTAACTCTATTTTAATATATTTATATAGATTGCTTTTTTATTGTAAAGATTTTTTATCTTATGAATATTATTTGGTGTTGCATTTTTATTTGCATATTTAAAAAGTTCAATTGTTACTTTTCTTCTTTGTGAAAAATTTTTCTATAATTTGAAAAGTTTAATAATCATAAACATTTTTTTGTGTTAATTCAAATTTAAAAAAAAAACAAATTTTTTCTAACTATTAATAAAAAAAAATTTAAGTTAGTAAATATGTATGTATCTATTATTTTCTTTGATTATATCGTATTTTACATAATAAGTATACTAATTTAAAAACATACTAAGTTAAAAACACAACTATTGAAAAAGTTAATCACAAGTATTGTGTATAAAAAAATCATTTTGTTATTTGAATTAATAGTTTTCATAGATTAAATTTTATATTTTGCATCTAAAAAATTTTAATTATAAATATAAAACTTAAAAAAATTGAATTTTTAGCTTTAAAAACTATTAAAGCTCTATAGTTTATTGTTGTTGTTTTTTTTAATAACTTTTTTCATTATGGTTTTTTCACGTTAAAAGAATATTATACCATACAAGTGTATCTAGACAAAGTAACAGTTATAAAAAGTTATGAAAAAGTTATATAAAAAAAACAAATAGATACCGCTTTTCATTCTTACAATACTGCGGGCAGCATTTTGATCAGCAGCAGTCAACACAAAATCAGCGCCTTGTATACCAATAATGAATTCCATAATAAATTTTTTAATACTTAAAACTATAAATAAATTTAAGTTGAATTAATATTAATTCATCATATTTATCATCTCATGATCATCCTCTTCCTCTTTCTTCTCACTTCACTTCATCAACAACATCTTCATCGCTATCATCATCATCATGTTGCTACAAACGGTTAGATACATTTTTATGTGTTCAAGGTCAATTACTGAATACCTGCAGTACAATTTACATTTCAGATTCTTATTTACCTTATTTATCTTTATTTAATTTATCTTTATTCAATTTATTTAGTTTCATATTGTTTAATTGCAGTTTCCTATTATTCAGAAATATTAGTTTGTTAGTAAGGGCAATTCCACATCAAACTACCCAGCCCATTGAACCATGTGCCTTTCTTTTGCTTTCATCTTGACATATATAACTATTATTTATAAAAAAAATTGGATGCAATATTTTTTAGCTGAAAAAATGTTGATCAGTTGATGAGATATAGCAATATTAAAATTGACATTTAATAAAAAAAGTTTTTCTTAATATAATAAGGAATAACAATGGCAAAAATATAAAAGTAAGCATTTATAATACTTTACTTTAATTCAATACACGTATTTAAAATGCTTAAATATGAAGGAAAGGCTTAAAAATTAATAAAAAAAAACTAGTTATAATCTTAAATGTCACTAAAAATGGAGAAACAACAGTAAATAATTTAATATATTTAAAGTAACTATAAATTTACAATCCTGATCAGTGAATTTCTGTGAAACATGAAAAAATGGATTTATTCAGCTTTAAGACCCAATTCACTTGCTAGTTGGCATAGATTGTAAAAGCTTTTACATTTTTTTACTGCCCTGCACAAACTAAAATGAATAAATGTAATTTGAGATGGATAAATTTTGTTCTTAATATATTCTTAGATTGGTTGAAATATTTTGTGCACATGGGTGTAGTGTGGGCTGATATAAAATAATAAGAGAAACGTTTTATCTCTTACCAGTGATAGCTTTGTACTTCATCTTGGACTACAAAAGCATAATTTTCTACAAAGTTGTCAATAATTATTATGTTTTGATTGATCCATTAAAACATTAAAAATATGAAAAATTGTTTAGGTAAAATTCCCAGAAAAAGTCTTTCTCTTAATTTTGCTTTTAGCTGAATTGTTTTTAATTTTTCTTTAAACTTTTCTTAGTTTTGTATGAGTGATGAGTAAAAAAGCTTAAAAAAGAAATATATTACAAAAAAATATACCTAAACTTGTATGTATGGAAAACATTTGGATATCCAGAAAAACTAAAAGTTGAGAAAAATACCCAGAATTACAGACATTTCAGGAAAAAGATAATCCCTGCAAATATATAAGGTGACATCATGGTTTTAGAACGCACTATGAATATAACACATATAGATTCTTCAAATTACACACAAAAAAAAATTTGTTTATTGATGTTCTTTTCAATGCTTACATCATCTTTTTTCTCAGGTATAGTTCAACATAAATCACTTTAGTCATAAAAGATTTTAATGGAATCTTCTACATCTTTATGCAAGACTTTATCTTTATACAATAGAGTAACTAAGGATCCTTTTTTGTTAAAAAATTCTACCTGGTATTCTGTAACACTTAAGTTATTTTTATAGTTACTTTTATAGTCTAAAGATCTTTTATAGTAACTACAATTTTCTAAAAATAATTAAATTTTATAAAGTTTCTACGCACATTTGTCTTAAACTTTATTTTGTCACGTTTTAGAAAAATAAAATATTTAAAAACCATGTTTAATGATAAAATATTTAAATTGACAGCTACTTACTAGTGATTTATTTTGTATGTGCATTGAATGGATCACAGCAACCATTCTGCTATATAAGATACATTTTTATATATTTTTAGCAGGTCTTTCACATAATATTATTAAGTTTGATCATTTAACATTACAACGTAATAAAATTTTTTTCATTGCTTAATGTTTCAATAACATCTTTTTGGCTTTTGCATACTTCTGATGTCATTGAGCCAATAGAACACATTTTGAACCATATAAAGGAAGTATTTCATAAAACAAATAAATAAATTCATCTTTCCTACTAAATTTTTAGTAGGAAATAGTTCAAACCTATTTAGATTCCTTCTTAGCATGTTGTTTTGCACTGGTAGATATTGCTAATTTTTATTTATATATATATTAATTTGTTAATTTGTTTTAAGTTAAATTTTTAACCCATGGTCAAAAAATCCATGATTGATGATTTGATGTGGAATTTTCTGTAAGTAAAAAAATAAACTTCTTCATGGACAATAATAAAGTTTATAGACATACACACACACACACACACACACACACACACACACACACACACACACACACACACACACACACACACACACACACACACACACACACACATGCACACACATATTGTATATTATATACATGTATACAACCTCAAAATACGCAAATAAACCAGTAGGTATAGTATTAATATGCATAACTTTATAATTTCATATCAAATACAATAAAAAATAGGTCTTTAAGATTGTAAATCTGAATAATTTTAAAAAATTTTAGAATAACTCAGGATCAAATAATGTAATTCAATCAAATTGAATTTACTTGAAATTCGATTACAACCAAGCACGAACTAGTTAGAATGATGTGCCAATTGGTAATAGACTGATAAGACAAAAAATGTACATTTTTTGGTAAAGGCTATATTAATAAAACATAGTGAATTTATGATAATCATACATAATAGACATACAACAAAACATTTATAATTATGACAAGACAAAAATCAATAAAAAAAAAAAGTACGCTCGTTTGGTGCGGTACTGGCGGTAGTGGCGGTACTGGCGGAAATAAATTTAATTTTCGGAGAAGAGTAATTAAGATTTGAGTTAATAGAGAACAAAGAAGAGAAATGAAAAGTAAGAAAGCGGCTGACAGATTAATTAAAAAACTGAAAACCAAGTACAAACTAGTTAGAATGATGTGTCATTTTAAAAATCTATACATAAGATATTTCACAATTATACTAGATTTATCAACTTTTTTAAACATGTCACTACTAAATGAGGTTTCCTAGAAGCAAAATTGGAAGTAACAACATCGTAATTAACTTTCTTTGCCGTATCTGTTCAATTGAAGTCATTAAAACGATCTTTTATAGCTCATAGAGAGTTCCATTATAGCTCATAGAAAGTTTTCGTTCATAGCTAGTTTGGAAAGATCTCTTTCCTTTAGCCATAGATATTATCAAGGTAAGAAAGATATGAAGACAGATACATAGGTAGAGGAAATTTCCTTTAAACTCTTTTGCACAAATACGATTTAACAGATTGAAGGCAACAGATATTGGATCTTATATCATGGCAATCTGATGGCTGCTTCTATTTGATCGAAATGTTGGATGTAGACTTATTTGTTTTTATTTCTAAAATCTAAAATCTAAAATAAATTGTAAGAATATATCATATCCACTCAAAACTATAGAAAAAATGTTCCATTTATGTGGTTTGTAATTATCACAAAACTATTCAGAGGGAAAATTAACAAACGTAAACACTGTTGTATAGATTCTGACAGGGAACTTTCTGAAAACAAAAGTATTTGGTCTCTAAATGGAGAGCCATTTAAAGTAAAAACTGTCCCAGAGATTTTAATAAATTAAATTGGATTGAATCAAAATAAAAAATTAAAATATATAAACAAGTTAAACGACTTTCATTTCTTTATTGTCATTTTCGATTTTATTGGGGCCTATTTCCAGCGGATAATGTTTTTTTCGCTTTCTGATGATAACCCATAAACTTGCTGTCTCGGGGAAACCGACCCTAATCTCGCATCTTTAGTGCATTCCTCTGTTTAAAGGAAAAAACTAGATAAATAATTTTTGCACATGAAGGAACACTTGACAGTTGATGCAACTTAGCTGAATGAAGAGTTAAATAATAATTGAGTTTTAATTGGTGTAACAAGTAACGATAACTCGCTTGAGCAGCAACCACGGTAGTATTTGTAAAAATAAAAAATTAAAGACTAGAGCAGGCCAAACAATACTTAGAATGTAAATGTTGTTGTCTAATGAGGTACTCTCACTTTTAGACAAGGTTGAAAAACGTAATGCCACTAATTTACCCAAATATATTTAAAATTTTCATTTTAAAATAAGGTTTACAATCAAAAAAATGATCAGCAAAGTTAATTATGCGAATTGCTCGTTTCTGACAGCGATAAAGACGATGTAATTTTCTCTTTTCCATTTTTCCCCTGGCAATACTAGCGTAGTTTATGTAGCAGTGAACAAAAGCGAAATAATGTTGTCTTAAGTTTTACTTATTGAGATAAGTTCGAGCTTTGTATAAAACGACAATATTTTTAGAGATTTTAGTGCATACATAATTAATACGCTAATTCTAAGTAATGTTCTCATCGAGATAAACACCTAAGAACTTAATAACAGTCTCTTTTTATTTCAATTTCATCAATAAAGATTTGAGGTAAAAAAAATTTTTTCTTAAGCGAATGAAAAAAGTCCATTGTAGTTTGTCAGTATTTAATGTTAATTTATTGGACTTGAACCTGTGCAGAGTGATCTGAAAAAATTTATTTATTTATTTATGGGCTTCAGCGAGGGAAGCCCCCCCCCTCCCCCACAAAAAAATTTTCATATCAAGCCAAAATTAAATATTTTAGTTAAAAATTGCAGGTGATGATTTTATCTAAATAAAATAATCAGATGAGCATGATTATCAGCGAACATCATGCTCATCTGATTATTTTATTTAGATCGTTTATAAAAATTAAAAAGAGGAGGGGTCCGAAGATTAAACCTTGTGGAACTCTCAGGTTATATTTACACAATTGTAGTGGTAGTTGCCATTAACAACAACAAATTATTTTCGGTTTTTTAAGTATTATCTAAACCACTTTAACACTTGGTTATTTACTCCAAACTATTTCAGTTTTTCGAGTAGGATGTGATGGTCAACCGTATCGAAGACCTTCGATAGGTCGATAAAGGTACCTAAGGTATCTTTATCGACCTTTTTTATATTGATTGTTCAAAAGA